CAAATGACTGTTGTTGATCAGGCCCCCATTCAAACTGCTCCTTCTTCCGAGTGCATCTGTACAAAGGCTGCAAGATCTGTCCTAAATGAGGTATGTGGTGTCTCCAGAACCCGAACAACCCAATATACCGCTGAGCATCTGTCTTATTCTGTGGTATTGGGAACCGTGCTATTTTCTCTTTAGCTTTAGTTGTTATCTCTCTTTCCCCTCTATTCCAGATAATTCCCAAGAACTTCACTGACTGTGCAGATCCCTGCACTTTCGCTGGATTTATCTCCCATCCATGATTCTTCATATGTGTTATCAGAAGTAGGAGCAATTGCTCAACCTCTTCTTTAGTGTTTCCCTGAATCATGATGTCATCAATGTAGTGTGATAGCAATATGCCTGATGGGATCTTTAAAGTCGACAGATTTTCAGCCACTATCCTATGACAGATTGTGGGTGAATGCAAATACCCTTGTGGTAATCTGGTGAAGGTGTACTGTCTTCCTTCCCATGTAAAGGCAAACTGTTCCATCTTGTCCTCAGGGATGGGTATGGTAAAGAAAGCATTGGCCAAATCTATCACCGCATACCATGTACCAGAGTGATGCTGCACCCTTTCCACAATCGTGATAACATCCGGAACCGCAGACGTTAAAGGAGGAGTATGTTTATTCAGCGCTCTATAATCCACAGTCATTCTCCATGAACCATCTGATTTCTTCACTAGCCATAAGGGATTATTCCACCGTGTGGTGCATGTTTTCAAAACTCCTGCCTCCAGATATTCTTTAATAGTGTCCGTAATTTCTTTCTGACCCCCAGGCAACCGGTATTGTTTTTGTGATACCACCTGTGTTGCTTCAGGAATGGGAAAAGGTGTCATTTTGACCTTGCCTACCAAAATGGTGTGGATTCTGTTTATACCAAAACAAAATCGACCATGTTTCAGATGAAGAGTCATTCCGGCCAATATATCCATTCCAATAATCCATTCCCTTGCAGGAGCCACTACTACACTGTAATTTCTAATAGGTTGATTTCCTATTTTTAAGGGCAAAGTTACTCCCTTTCCTACTAACATCTGCCCCCCAAGTCCAATCAAAGGTACAATGTTTCCCTTTATTTTATCAGGATTGCCATGAATTACCGAGGCCTCCGCCCCAGTGTCAACCAATGCCATTACTGTCTGTACTGATTTTTTCCAATAAATCTGTAATTCCACATGTGGTCTGATATCATTTATTGACCATCCTGAGGCACTGGCAACAACCCGAGCTTGACCTTCATCCTATTCATCATCATGTTCCCTTCGGTGCTGTTTTTCCTTTCTACGCTTCACTGCCGCCACCTGATAACACTCATCTGAACTCTCCTCCTCTGAAGATTCCTTGGGAGGGGCGGAAGGTTCAGCAGGCTTCGACGCCACCTCCCTGATCACATTCTGCAACATTCCAGCCAATTCTGACACAGACATCCTGTCGTCCTTTTCAGGACAATGTCTGAACTGACAATGGACCTTCAGTCCCATTTGGCTGCATTTCTCCATCAATGCATTAGTGGGCAATCCATCAATCTCCTCAAACGGCACTCCCGCTTGTCGCAGTGCCCTCCACAGATCTGTTCTAGAGGGGCCCATTGCCCCCCCTTTACGACCCCTTGAATGTGGATCAATCCTGGGTTTATTTTCAGTTCTAGCTCCCTCTCTCCTCGTCTCAGACCAATCACCCAGCGTGGTGAGTTCGCCAAGACGATCTTTTATCGCGGCAAAAGTCTGGTCTGCCGCGCCAAACAACAAGCTGGTCACCATGGGTTTATAATGTGGTGGGGCATGTCTGATGAGGTGGTCTCTAGTTGCCTTAGAGATGTTACAGTCCACCACTCCAGCTCCCCCGTTTCGAGCCACTTGCTCTCTAATAGTGAGTCTGGTGAGCCGCTGAATGGCATCTCTCACTGTCTGCCATTGCCCTTTAATCTCAGACCAATCCGCCGTGGTAGGATAGATTACATGACATGCCAGAGCATATGCATCCCCCACATTGAAATCTTCATCAGCTGGCAATGCCCGGACTGTAGCCCGGTATTCAGCATTTATCTGTGCATCAGTACTTAATCCTGAAAATCTCATGGCATCACCGGCATCTATGGCTATATCACACGCGCCATCCTCCATAAGGCGATTAAGCCAGGAGTCAGTTGGTTCGCCTGGGCGCTGTTTCAGCTTCCCATTCATGTGATTTAACTCATCTTGTGAATAATCCTCTAGCGTTGTTAGCAGCCTAGGGGCGGGTTGTGGCTGCTGTTGTAACATCCTTCTTATATTACCCGCCTCATCGAGTTCCGGCCGTCCCTGATCATCCACCATATCTACCAGTATTGGTGGAATAATTTGCTGTTCTCGCCGACGCCTAGTAATAGGTTTTTGTTCTGACATCTTTATCCCCTGTAATGATGGATACAAGGGCTGAGGTGGTGGGTCAGGTTTAATCGCCCACTCCTCCTCCTCATCATCCCCCCAAAGATCCCCGTTCCATTTCTCCGGGTTCCAATCTTCACCAACATTCTTTACAAACGCCCGGATCTGAGCAGGACCTGTTCTACGAGGTCGCTTCTTTTCCTTCCTTTGCGCTCGAGACACAAAAGTCAGCGTTTTATCCAAAACATTCTGAGCATGCTTTAGCTCTTTCCCCATCACACACACTCTCTGCTCAAACTCTGAGCATGATTTTCCAACTTCTTCAGCATGGATTTTCTCCTGCGCCGCTCGCTCTCTACAACTGCTCAATTCTAACTCCTGTTTTTTCCATGCTTCTGCAAAAAGCCACATCATATCTCTCACTCCTGCCAGCGGCGCTTTTTCTTTAACTTCTATCCGCGTCAAACGGTCCAGCACCACGGCGGGGCTGACCACTCCATTTAACTCTCCCCACGGCCCAGGGCGTCCACCGCGCTGCCTTAACATATCACCAATGGTTCGGAACTCCTCCGTTTCCCAGCCGGGAATCGGCACGGGAATCGGCGTTCCCTCCCCAGAAGCACTCGGCTCCTTTTTGCTTCTCCAAAAACACTTCATTGTTGCTGGAATAGCTTGACTGATCCTGTTCGTGACGCCAAAAATGTTCTAAAATAAAATGTTTTATTTTATTTTAATTACCTTAAAAGACTCAAAGTCTCTTTTTACACTTTATATTTATTTAGTCAGGATCGTTGTCAAGTCGACGCCAGAAACAATGAAATACAACTTGAATATCAGATGAACAACAAGGCTTTATTCGACCGGCATTCATACAAGTTATCAATCATGAACGAAACTTTTCTCTTACCGTTGCTTATGGGTGGAGAGCTGAACACCCCAGTTAGAAAACGTAATCCATGATAGGTGAAGAACTGAACACATGTAATCCATGAACCTCGTCAGGTAGAATCCTTCAAGCAGCTCTAACCCCCCTGAGCCCTGCTCTGCTCCTTATACATTCCCTGATGTGCGTGCAAAGCTGCACACCTCCACCATGATTACCTTGATTACATCCTCATGATCACATTATGTTCGGCTCTACCATGATTACCCTTGATTACATCCTCATGATAAGTGTGATTGACAAACAGTAGTGATCAATAACTTATATAAAGCAATTATACAACAGATGACAAGTTCATTTTTATTACAATGTCACAATGCTGTCGTAAGCCTGTGTGTGTGTATATTTGTTAGCAGCTCTGCCCTCTCAGTCTGCCAGGCAACAGCATTTGTTGCATTTTTCAAACATGAAGTGGGAGTGGAGTTAGACTCTGGTAGGGGGTGACTTGCTCTTGAACTTAGCCGTACTTGTTATTGTGAAGCAGGTGTAAGGACCTTGTCGTCAAAACATGGTGAACACAGTCCAGTAGATAAACATAACATCCACTCAGTGAGTAAGATTAATCAAGTATTTCATTTCATTATACTATTTTACCACAAATAATAATAAGCAAATGTTTATTTAATGATTAAATAGATTAAAAGTCATAGACGAAGTTATTGATGATTTATTATAATAACTCTTGCGTTTAGCAACTGATCCGAGCTGGGTCTTCTTTCTTCTGGTGCTGAGACCTTGAGGAAGTAAGTTAACGTTATGATTTAGACTTGTGGAGTCTGAATCCCAGCTGGTGTGAAGGCAGACTTGTTTAAAAGGAACACGAACACAAGCAATGTTGTGTCTCCTTGATGACCAGATGTTGAGTAGATGGTGGAAGGTCAGGCTGTACCTAAACTGACCATTGCTGGATGCTACAATGCTGTTCCTACGCATGGTCAGAGCTGTTCTTACACAATGCATAAAAGCGTTCCCACACATGAAATATGCACAGATCTGCCTTTTTCATGTTTTGTTCCACAGATGTGGAATGACCTACCAAGCACTACCAGAACAGGGTCCTTCTTGTTGATTTTCAAGAAACTGCTGAAGACCCAGCTCTTCAGAGAGCATCTTCTAAACTAGGACCCTCCCTGCACCTGTCCCCATTCTACTGCACACTCCTTGTTCACTTCCCTCTATGATTGATTATGCTGCCTCACTGCTACCTAGGATTGACTGAATAGTGTTTGTCGTTAGCCTCAAGGGCAACAGATGGCTTGATTATCACCTGTAAGTCGCTTTTGACAAAAGCTTCTGCTAGACATAAACACAGCACCGGCGGGGTAGAAACAATGCTAGTGTGTAAGTGGGTTTGTGGACTCGGTGGTCTCCTGTAAAACGCAGCTGAAAACTCACGTGTTCCGGCTTTGGTGGGACCTCCCCTCATCATCTTCTTCCTCACTAGCTTCTCTTCATGTTGCTGTTTCTGTTAGTTTTGTCTTCTTCTGGAACCCGTGATTACCCATTTTACATTTAATCATTTTTAAAATTAAAATAGGTTTAAAAATAGCTCAATTTTAATTGTTTATGTTTATTTTTGTCATTAGGCGCGTTTCTTTTTCCTCCTCCAACCACACGATGGCGCTACCAGAAAAGTACGAGGCGCAAAAAACGGAACATGTTTTGTTTATTTAAGCTTACATCCGGTTATTTACTGGTCTCCGAAGTTCTGTCTCGATTCCGCTAATGGTTCTGCTACAAACACGGCTTTATGTTAGTTTCCTAGTGTTGGACCAGCCAACAAAGTTCTGTTCACAGTTCCGTTCTGGTTCGCCAGCCGGGACGTCCGGGAAAGCACGGGCGCTGCGTGATCTGTTCGCTACCGAACCGAACTCTGGACAGCTAGCTGGTTCGTTCAAACATCATGGCCAGTGAGAACACCGGAACCGAGGAGGAAACTGGATCTGCTGCTGAATCAAACGAGCACGACTACGCCCACACTGCAGACGGTACTCTACCCGAACCAGAGCCGCTCTCTTCAGGTCCGTCACCCGAAACCGAGCAACAGAGCGCACCAGTTCAGATCTTCGCGCCTCTGTCGCAGGACCATCCAGAACCGGCGGTGGGTGCAGAAGTGGACTGCCCCAGTGGAAACGAAGTGGCACCTCATACCGGAGATCTTGGTGCAGACGCGCTATCCCCGTCCGGTCCGCGCCGAGGTCCGCGGCGGCCCAAACGGCCAGAGGACCAGAACTGTTCCTGCTGCAAGGTGGTGTTCCAGCGACAGGGACGCTCCTTCAACCGGAGGGCGGTGTACACCTTTACCACCCCGGAGACCGTTCGGTGGGTCTTCCCGGACTCTGTGGTGACCGACAGGTCGTTCCTATGTGAAACCTGCGCCCAAATCATCAGAACCAGAGGAAAGCGCAAACAAAGCGGAAAGCGCTGCATGTGGCTGAAACCCCCAAACATCAAAAAGGTTAGTGGGTCTGGTCGCCACCTGACACCTGGGTCACCAGGTCCTCAGAGTCTGGACACACCTTTGTCTTTAGAACCAGACCTGTGACGTTCACAAAACGGACCAGAGAGTCTGGACTAGACTGGATCAGAGACCAAGATGGAGCAGCTGGTGGCACTGGGGTCTCATAGCCAGAAGGTTGCATGCTTCTGGTGAAGAGCATGTTCTCCTCATGCATGTGTGGAGTTAGCGTGTTCTCCTCATGCATGTGTGGAGTTAGCATGTTCTCCTCATGCATGTGTGGAGTTAGCATGTTCTCCTCATGCATGTGTGGAGTTAGCATGTTCTCATGCATGTATGGAGTTAGCATGTTCTCCTCATGCATGTTTGGAGTTAACATGTTCTGAATGTGTGGAGTTAGCATGTTCTTCTCATGCATGTGTGGGGTTAGCGTGTTCTCCTCATGCATGTGTGGAGTTAGCGTGTTCTGAATGTATGGAGTTAGCATGTTCTCCTCATGCATGTGTGGAGTTAACATGTTCTCCTCAAGCATGTGTGGAGTTAGCGTGTTCTCCTCATGCATGTGTGGAGTTAGCATGTGCTCCTCATGAATGTGTGGAGTTAGCGTGTGCTCCTCATGAATGAGTGGAGTTAGTGTGTTCTGAATGTGTGGAGTTAGCATGTTCTCCTCATGAATGTGTGGAGTTAGCGTGTGCTCCTCATGAATGAGTGGAGTTAGTGTGTTCTGAATGTGTGGAGTTAGCATGTTCTCCTCATGAATGTGTGGAGTTAGCATGTGCTCCTCATGAATGGGTGGAGTTAGCATGTGCTCCTCATGAATGTGTGGAGTTAGCATGTGCTCCTCATGAATGTGTGGAGTTAGCGTGTGCTCCTCATGAATGAGTGGAGTTAGTGTGTTCTGAATGTGTGGAGTTAGCATGTTCTCCTCATGAATGTGTGGAGTTAGCATGTGCTCCTCATGAATGTGTGGAGTTAGCATGTGCTCCTCATGAATGAGTGGAGTTAGTGTGTTCTGAATGTGTGGAGTTAGCATGTTCTCCTCATGCATGTGTGGACTTGGCGTGTTCTCCTCATGCATGTGTGGAGTTGGCGTGTTTTCTTCATGCATGTGTGGAGTTAGTGTGTTCTCCTCATGCATGGGTGGAGTTAGCGTGTTCTCCTCATGAATGTGTGGAGTTAGCGTGTTCTCCTCATGCATGGGTGTTGTTAGCATGTTCTCATGTGTAGGTTTTCTTCTGGGGTCTCTAGTTTTCTCCCACAGATCATAAAAGATGAATGTTGGGATAACTGGAGACTCTTGTCCCTATATGTGTGACCTGTTGTTTCTCTGTGTGTTCTCTTGATGGACAAGAGACCTGTGCCGCCGCCGGTGTCTCCCGTCCCTCAACCTTAATGAACATATTGTTTTTCTTGTATCATGCAATGTTCATAGGTACATGATCAAATGACTTGTTGGTGCATTATCTTGAGTTTTAAAGCTACCAGCAAATCTGCAGAACAAGCTAACTTAAAACATTTATTTTTCATTTCTCTTATCTTTCTAACATTTACAAATATTTTGTGATGATAGAAAATGTAATGAGGTGGTTCTTTCATTTGTTTGAAAACCTTAGCCAATAACAAGTCTCCGACCAAAAGCAACTATTAGACCATCCAGTTGTCTGTTTCACAAATTCGCTACACTTTTATTTTATTTATTATTTTCTTTTTATGTCTTTTATCATTATTATATTTTTTACCACACATATTTTGCACACAAATGGTTTTGCAGGGATTAAGTAGAGTTGTAGTAAAGATTCTTTGTGAAGAGGTTCAAACGAAGGTAACTGGACTTCTTTGATTTCATGAAGATGGTCTCGCTTATCATCCGAGGAGTTTTGTCAATTCTGATTGGAATATGGGAGAGTCATAGCCTGGCAAGCCAGACTAAATAAATGTATTATTTAGTCTGGCCACGCTCCATTGACGGCTCTCGGTTGTGGGGCGGGTTCTACCGTTGTCTTTCAAATGATCTCCGCATTCCACTGGACAATGAGTGACATACTCTTGTTTCACTCTGTTGCATCATCCCACCCACCAGGCATATAGAGTGCCCTGATTGTCCCACAAAGCGGATAAAGCTCTGTGATTTGTTCACTAAGCAGATAGAGCACTATGATTGGCCCACCATTATGGACCAATCACAGCTCTTTATGTGTTTGAAACCCCTCTAGAGAACTGTGATTGGCTAGCCAGAGTCCTGGTAGGAGCTGCGGAGGTCCCAATGGAGCATGCCTAGACCTAACTTTGCAAAGCAAGAATATGGTCTAGTTCACTAGGCTAGGAGAGTCAAGGTTGTAAGCTGTAGCTGTTTGTTATTTTCTTAACGAGCAGAAACTATTTATGGATACCCCTCCTCTCTACCCCCTGAGTATTTGAGTTGCTGCATTAGCTTATTATGATAGAGTTACCAACAGGGACAGATAGTAAGTGTTGTCCTGACTAGAGAATGCATGAGATAAGGATGCATCATGAATTTAGTTTAACAGGATAGATTTTTTTTCTTTGGACAAGAAATAATTGCTGGTAATATATTGTGGATGATAGGATGTGAGCCGCCTCTAGATATAATTTTAATAATTTTACTTCAATTCTAAATATATAATTAAATGAAAGTGCCTGTGGGACATTTGAGACACGTATCTCTAGCTCTCAATTATAGATTGATAGACAGAATGGAATTTTAAGGTATTTTTTAAGATTCTGAAATCTTTTATCCTATTTTCTGTGAAGGGGTATGATTTTAAATCTATTTATTTTAATGGTAAATAACTTCTAAAACGTCTGAATTGTCAAAATAGAAAAAAATCGTGATAAAATCTTGATCGTGATTTTGCGAAAAGAAAATTGTGATATGATTTTTTTTTTCCCATATCGCCCACCCCTAGCCTGTCTGGATATTCATGTCTATGTCAAATCTAGCCAACCCCCTGTACATACTTTTACATCCAAAAAAGGAGCACCAGAGATTTTTTCCCCCACAGAAAACGACTCATAAGGCGTTCGTTTATACTAGACCACTGAATATTCATGGAAGTGAGTTGACGGCAACCTCCAGCTGGGTTAGACTCCCGTTGGTGGACAGAGAAGAAGAGGAAAGGCAAGATTGTGGAACAGAAGATTTCTGAATGTTTCTTTACTTTGAAGATGGAAACAAAAGAATGTAACAGACCAAACACAAACAAAAGTGGTGGACAACTAAAGGAAGTCTGGAGGTGTGATTGGCTGTCTGAGGTTCTGTGCTCATGCAGCAGTTTGAAGTGTTTTGTATGAAATTTTTATCTTTAAGTATTAAAAGTTTTCTTTTTCCAGGTCAAAGACAAGCAGATTTTGGGACGAAGGATGGGAAAGAAGAGTAAAGCAGCACTGCTGGTTAGCAAGTCAAGCTACAAAGCTGCCTTTCAAACACTCTGGTCATCCAAAGGTGCCCGGAAACCCATGATGGCGTTCTGGAGCAAACAGCTGAAAAACGAGGTGGGGATGTGGTTTCTGTGGTCCTGTGTGTCTTCTAAACCAGCTGTTGGTTCATCCCTTATTTTCGTTATCCAGATGAAGACATTGTCACGGCAACCAGACAGTCCCTTCCACCAGAAGGTGTCGGGCAGGAAGCCGCTGTCTTCCTTCCCCTGGCGACGATGTCTGAACTGGGCCCAAGAAAAGGCTCCGCTTGTCATTGCCTGTCTTCGCTCCATGTTTCCAGACATCAACGCCCTCTACAAAAGTAGCAAGTGAGTTAGCCTAACACCTTCCTGCACCATCTGGATATGTATAATTACCCTCATGTGTTGTCCAGACTGTTTTTGTGGGCTGGGGTCTGAATCTGATGAGCATCTGTGTGTCTGTCAGCCAGCTGACGGAGGAGCAGGCCATCACCCTGTTGGAGCGTCGGACTGTGGTGGCACTCTCCATTCCACTCTTCACTAGAAACATCTGGAGAAACAATTTTCTGCAGGCTGCTCTGGGGGCGGAGCTACGGCTGCAGGGCTGTTCTGGCTCTGCCCTCGACACCCTCAACACCATGGGGTTGTGCCAGAACAAAGACACTGTCAGGTTGCTCCTCCACAAGCTGCAAAATGGCAAAGATGTGGTGAGTGTGGTACAAAGTAAGAACCAGATTATTACAGAGTGATAGCAGAGGAGGTTGGTGCCAGTTGGATAAACGTCATGGTTCTGGCATTTAAACTCAAACAACATGGAACCAGCACCATCATACATTGGTGATCTTCTCAGTCCCTACACCGCCAGCGGGTCCCTGAGGTCCAGTGACCAAAGCCTACTGGTTGTGCAGCACCAAAGGTGACAGATCATCTGCTGCTGTGACCCCCAGACTCTGGAACTCTCTTCCCCTGAGATCAGTGGACTCAGTGGTCTCCCTTAACCCTCTCAGGTTCAAAATAAGTTTTGATAAAAGGACAAGCCCTAATAAGCAGTGACGTAAGTGAAGCAGGCAGGTCGCGCTAGAAAATCTAATTTAAAAAGACGTCATAAATGTTTTTCCCTTTTATTTTTATATCTAAAATATAAAGTAAAAATTCACAATTTAATTTCCATTCATTTTCATTCATATTTAGTCTACACCCGTGCGTTAAGTGTACCGGCACCAGAATGCATTACCTGCACTTCTAATATTTACCTCTCAACATAGGACTTTCATAAGGGTACATGCACACCGGTAGTTTTTACGGTTATTCATGGGGCAAAATCTCCGACATCTTAGAAAAAAAAAGAACACCTTCCAGTAAAACCAAAGCATCCAGCCCACCTCTCCAAATGCGTAAAATGTGCGTATCAGCCGCTAGGTGCACCGCACGCACCATCAGCCCGGACAAGAGCAGAGAACATAGAGAAAGAATAGAGGATCATTATGTCTGGATGTGGATGGAGATTACATTTTACAGCAGCCTGATCATCATTTAAATACATGCTATCAGCATTATTTTAATTGGTGTGTGAGTGTTTGTGTGTTTTTGTGCGTGTGTTTTCCACTTCAAACACTGGTCTAACCAACCAGACCAGTGTGTCCAGTAACATATTAATGTTACAATTTAACTATTTCACTTCATGTAGGCTAGGAACGTTTCACCTGCCGTGGTCCGACCGCATCTGCTCCACATAAACTTTGTGCGTGATCAAATGTCTCTACAGGTGCTCTCTGAGCTGAAGAGGCTATTCTGCCTCAGACAGACTGGATGCGTCATGCATCTCCATATTGGAGATGGGAACAAGCGTTTTCAGCCAAAGTTTCATAATCGGAGAACATTTTTCCAAGTGACACATCACTCTGAGAGACCGGGTTTCCAGACCGCTTCAGTGGGAGGAAATCTATTCTGAATTTAACAGGCAGTCAATGTAAGCAAGCTAAGACAGGAGAGATATGATCTCTATTTTTAATTCTCATCAGAACTCTAGCTGCAGCATTTTGAACAAGCTGAAGACATTTAACTACATTCTGTGGACTTCCTGAGAGTAATGGATTACAGTAATCCAGTCTTGATGTAATAAATGCATGAACTAGTTTTTCAGCATCACTCCTGGAAAGTATGCTTCTAATCTTAGCAAAATTCCGAAGGTGGAAAAAGAAAATCCTACAAACCCATTTAACATGGAATTTGAATGACATGTCCTGGTCAAAGTTAACACCAAGGTTCCTTATTTTGTTCTTGGAGATTAATTTAATGCCGTCCAGGTCAGGTGATTGACTAAACAGATTCCTTTTCCGAATTTCAGGTCCAAAGATGAGAACTTCAGTCTTGTCTTGCAGAGAGTTTTGAGTCATCCAATTTTTACGTCTTCAAGACAAGCCTGTAATCTAACTAACCGATTAGGTTCATCAGGGTTAATGGATAAATATAGCTGAGTATCGTCAGCATAACAGTGGAAGTTTATCCCATGCTGTCTAATGATTTTACCAATTGAAAGCATATATATAGTAAAAAGAATTGGTCCAAACACTGAAGCCTGTGGTACTCCACAAGTAACCCTGGAGTATGAAGAAGATTTGTCATGTACATTTACAAAATGAAATCTATCAGACAGGTAGGATTTAAACCAGCCTAGCGCTGTTCCTTTGATCCCTACAACATGTTCAAGTCTTTCTACAAGAACATTGTGATCAACTGTGTCAAAGGCAGCACTGAGATCTAACAAGACTAGAACAGACACAAGATTCTTATCCGAGGCCATGAGAATATCATTTGTAACTTTCATTAATGCAGTTTCAGTGCTGTGATACTCTCTAAAACCAGACTGAAAGTCCTCAAACAGATCATTAGTGTTTAAATGCTCACATACTTGGATGGCCACTATTTTCTCCAGGACTTTGGATAAAAATGGAAGGTTAGATATTGGTCTATAATTCATTGGGTCATCTGGATCCAGAGAAGGCTTCTTAAGTTTTGATTACAGCAACCTTAAAATCTTGTGGTACATATCCATTTACTAAGGATAGTTTGATTATATCTAGAATGGGGGCAGTAACCAAAGGAAATGCATCTTTAAATAATTTGGGATTGGATCTAAAATACAAGTTGAAGGTTTAGATGAAGCTAATATTTTTGATAACTCTGAAAGCTCAACTGGATCAAAACGGTTCAAGCACAGATGAGGTTCTACAGTTACCTCTGATGCTGCCTCACTTACTGAGGAAGAAGAAATCGCATTAGGGAGGATGCTAATGATTTTGTTTCTAATAGAATTAATTTTACTTGTAAAAAATCCCATGAAGTCATTGCTGCTGAGGGCTAAGGGAATAGATGGCTCAGAGCTATGATTCTGTGTAAGTTTGGCAACTGTATTGAAAAGAAATTTTGGATTATTCTTATTCTCTTCAATTAGCGCTGAAAATTAAGCAGTTCAAGCTAGTCGAATCTTATTTTTATAAAGCACAAGACTATTTTTCCAGGATAAGTAGGACTCCTGGTGTGTAGAGCGCCATGTTCTCTCCAATTTGTTTTAAAGTTCGTAAATGAGAATTAAACCAGGTAGCCAACTTCCTGTCCCTAATTACCTTCTTTTTTAAAGGGGCAACATCATCTAATGCCATACATGAAGAAGCAACATTATGAACTAAAGCATCAATTTGTGAGGGGCTAGAAATGAAAATATTGCCCTCTGCTACGTTCCTCTGAGATGCTGAAGACAGTAAAGATGGAACAGTTGATTTACAGTTTTTTTCGATTGCTAAAACATGTTTTTCAAAACTGTACGTTTCTTTCAAAACTGCACACACAAAACCCCAAACAAAACACACAAATTCCTAAACCGTGGCTTCCCTATGCAACAAAACCCTGCCATCACATATTGTAACATGTTCCCAAAATGGAACACGTGTTTTCATTTGGCAAACACAGCCACATTTTCACATGACACACATATACCATTCATTGCTTAAACACAAGTAGCCTTTGGGTGAACACTACCAAGCATGGAAAGAACACTGAAGAGCAAAACTGAAAACACAATTGTCTAAATGGAACACAATGAATTGCACACTGAATGTATGACAGTGCCCACTTTTCTCTGAGACAAACAGACATCACACAAATTTTGAGACAATTTTTTTAATTTTTACAGTTAACCCCCCACCCCCTCTCCCATTCAAGCATAATCATGGGGCATCATGCCTCTGGTCTCTGTCTGGCCAGAGGGCCTCATCAACATCACAGGCAATGTCCTCCTGGTCCAAACAGCGCTGGAAGTACCGCCTCGAGTGCCTCATGAAGCCCTGACAGGCCTCAAAGGTCACACCTCTACAAGCCTCCTCCATGGCTTGAAGTGAGACCTGGCTCTGTGGATTCCTTTCATACACCTTCCACCTCCAGGCTGAGAAAAACTCCTCAGTGGGATTGAGGAAGGGGGAATAAGGTGGAAGGTATAAAATGAAAAACCGTGGGTGGTCCTGAAACCACTCATAGCCTTGTGGAAACTTACTATTATGCTGCAGTCCCTGATTGCAAATTGCTCGCCAGACTCGAAAGTTTAGAGATTTGAATATTTGTGTGTTGTTGATTGAAGCTTTGAGAATTTCTGTGAGAAGTGTGTGTAAACCTGAAAATTGTGTGCTGTGTTTTGACAGCAAGGTAATGTGAAATTGACATCAGAGTGTGAAGGAGGAAAGTCAGAGTTCTAATATGATAAGGAAATCTTAAGTAGTGATAAATTGAGTCAAGCGATTAGGAACAGAAGTAGAGGTTGTGAAAATTGTGCCTCATTTTTGCTTTTTGAGTTTTAGCAATCGAAAGAAACTGTAAAAGATGCAACAGCGTTGTCCGATAGAGACAGACTATAGTGAAATTTACTTTCATGTCTCGAGAACTCGGTTATAAAAAACTACTCCTCCTCCTCGCCCTGTACTTCGAGCAATATGATTTAAATAATTAGGAGTCGACTCGTTTAAACTAACACAGTCCTCTTGCTGCAGCCAGGGTTCTGTGAGAGAGCAAAGAAATCTGATTATCACAAATCAAGTCATTACCTAGCAAAGTCTTAGAAAAAACAGACCTTAATGTTCAATAACCCATATTTAATTTTTCTAGTTTTGTGCTCAGTTGATTTAGTTCTAATATTTATGAGATTTCCATAATTTGCTTTATAAAGCTTGATATTTAATCTCTGTGATTTTTGCCGTGGGCAGGACACCGTCTCTATGGGGTAGTGGGTGGGTAACAGTACTGAAGCTGCAGAGGGGGGTGTTAACCTATGACTCTGCTCCCTGGTCTGGACCCTGGGTTGTCATGGAGGATTTATAAAACTGGCCATGTTCCTAGAAAGAAGAGCTGCTCCATCCAAAGAGGGATTGTTACAAGCCAATTTACCGGGCTAGCTCCACTCTTCTAGATTTTATTAATATCTCAGGGTTTGGCTTGTAATCGGTGTAGTGGACGTGACATGCCAGTTTACCAGACTTCAGACTTCCTGGTCACGTGTTCCTCTTCTTCTTGTTTCTTCTCCCAGTCTTCATCTGTTCACTTGTTTCTTCTTCTCAGTGCCTCCTGCAGGCTTTCCTCTTCTCTGCATGCTGTTGACATTAGCCCGACGTTGCCCCTCCTTGCTTGTCAGGGGGAGCAATTTTATCGATTCTAAAAGTCTATGTCTTGTTTGGATAAACCATTAGCTGGTGCACCTGGACTTTCTCCAGAATGAGCCTCCTTACCTCCTTGCCTCCTCCACTTCTCTGGAGGTCAAAAAGGTTACCACTGAACCGTGAGACCGAAACAGCTCGGTGAAGGCAACTAGCAATTTACGACTTCAGGGGTGATAAGAGACAAGGCTGAAGGGACACACACACACACACACACACAGAGATACACTTTGGAAAGCCTAGAATTGATTTCACATAATGAGACATAATCCAGAGTTAATTCCATCCATTAAAAAGTCTGATTATGTTCCATACAACAGGGATGGATGCCGTCTCTTCGCATCAGACCAGGTTTTCCCCAAAAAGTTTTCCAATTATCAGTAGCCCACATTGTTTTTAGGTGCTCATGGGTTGAAGAGGCAGTGTTTTTAATGCCAACACATTTAGTGATGGAACAAGTATGACTTTAAAACCTCAAAAATCCCAGATGACAAACATTTCCAAACATTAGCAAAACTAACTCCAGAAACAGAACATGCACACAACTGTGACAATAGAATGGAACATTTTGTCCGTTGCTCTTCAGTTTTTCAATGGATGGATGTGACAGGAACCCTTTCCTCTGTCCTGACTGCATTTACCACTTCTGCTACTTTCTCCCAGGCTGTTTTCTGCCCATTACTAGTTACCCCTGAGCTGAGAGAAATTCAGCCTCAATAACCAGAGCCTCAATCTCGTCTCTGAAAGGCTTTATTTTCGGAGAGAGATATCCAGGGATTTCCCTCATGAGCTTTAGAGGATGTGGTGTTTCTATATAGAAATGGCTGAACAGACTTGAGCACTTGGGTACACACAGGTGGGATTTATCAACAGCTGACCGGAGGAACAAGTGGCCACTGTCTTTTTCATAAATCAGGATTTTGTCCTTTCCTACGAACATTCTAAATTTCATAAGTAGGATGGTTTCTATGAACGTTTGATAAGTGAGGAAGTGAGGGCCCTAGTAAGTCTCAAACATCTGATTATTCAGGATGCTTCATTTGACGTTTACCTTCATTTTGTGTTTTCATCCAAAACAGGATGGAGACCAGGGTCTGGTGATGAAACGTGAGCAGATGAAAGAGCAAATGGGAGAAGTGATGACAGATGAAGAAGAGCAGGAGGAAGAGGAAACAGAAGAGGAAGAGGATGAAGACGAAGATGTGGAGGAAATCGTGATGACCATGAAGGAGGACGAGCCGGTGGAACAGGAGGAAGTGCAGGACGTCCTTGAGGATGAAGATGATCCACATGTTACAGAACAAGAACAGAAGAGGAGAAAGAAAAAAGCAAAGAAGCAGAGAAAGGAAGAGAAGAGGAAGGAGAGAGGGAAACGAAAGGTGAGGGAGGAGCAGGATGATGAAGATGCATCAGAGCAGAAGAAGAGAAAGGTAGTGGTGGTGAGGCTCGGCCTGCTGAAGGGAACTTCAGAAGTAGGACGATCTGACCTATCAGCTCCTTAAGACTGCAGGCTCCTGCCCTGATCTCTAAAAACGCTGCCTCCCTTAACGGGGGAGCTGCACAGAGGTCTCGCCCTCTTCCAGTGGTCATGACTGGGACAAAAGTGAAATTTTTTTTTTGACAATAAAAAGATGATTGATCACATGACTTGTGTGGAGTATACTGTTTAACTTCTGAAGAAGTGAGTTCTTTGTGATGAAATGAGACTGCAGGTTTTTGAACCAATACTGCAATTAAACCAGACCTAAAACATCCTGTTGGGTTTTGTTTTGGAGTTCGAATAAAAGATCCTGGAGGCATATGTAATCTGATCCAGCACAACCCACTATCCTGGTATTATCCTGTTTAATTTAAATGAAATCCTATTCAATTCCAAAACAGACCAGGGGCTATTTCTCTAAGCAAGCTCAGACCATCAAGGCTATTTTGTGTAGCATACCCAAAGGTCAAGTATTTACATAAAAAATGACCAGAAATTAACTTTTAATTTCCAGACACAAACTGCATCACACATCACATCTACCTGTCCTCCAAACAAGAAAAGAAAGCAAGGATCTACGACCAGGCAACCAATTAAGTTAGCCATAATAAGTGCTGGAAGACAAGGTCTCATGCAGAAGACAAGACTTTCTGCACTTTCACTCTGAATAAAGTTCATCTTCCTCGAATCATAAATGACATTACAACTTTATAGGTTGATATAATCAAATGTGTTGAATGCATGGACGTAATTTTCAGTTTAAAAGTGGGGGGGGGGGGGGGGTATCTTTACAGTATATTCTAATGGGAAACAGGCTTCAACACAAACGGTTGTTTTCCGCTTGGTCCTAGAGCTCAACCATTGTCAATGTAATATAGTGTAATATTGTTTTTGGATGGTAAAAAGTGCAGGGGTCAAAACTTGACTTTGGAAAAAGTGTGTGTGTGGGGGGGGGAACCTGCCCCCCCCCCCCCAAAAAAAAACAAAACAAATTACGTCCATGGTTGAATGAACAAGATGTTTAAATCCCAAAGTGTTTGAATAATCTGCGCATTAATCATTAACGTGTTAAAATTAATTTCCTGTAATAAACTATTTCAGATCTTAAATTACACCAGATTAGTGTCTGTTGATTTAATGTTAATCTATCCAACACACTATAAAAAGATTATTAAAGTTTAACATTTTCCTTCACATAACTTGTAATATTTACGTCACACTAAGAGTTAACCTCTCTGAGTATCTGACTGAAGGCGTGACTTCTGAGGTATTTTGGTAACGCCTTTTTTAACGTGTCAAATTCTAATTTGTCAAATTTGTAAACATTTGATAAATACAGGAAACAATTCCTGGTCTAGCCAGCCTTGGACGTTCACACGATGAAGCCAATCGGGTGAACAAGCATTTTGAGACCATCCTCTCTTTTGACCCCAAGGTCAAAACCTCTCTGCAATGCTTGCAAGTGATTTCAGACACGTCTCTTTTAAGAGCAGCTTAACACCTCAGACAGACATTCTAACCTGCATACCCTGGTTGCACCTCCTGGCTGGCTCGCCATAAAATATTTAGCGTTAAGGATTGACTACGTACGTATTAAATGTATGTATGTATGTATTAAAGATGTGACATTCCATATATATATGAAATATCAATCTGGTCTTTGAAGGTTATCTGTACAACCATCATTTCATTCATACTTCACTCTACATCATGTACAATCATTTGTACATTTAGTTTAGAAAATAGAATTAAATAAATTTTTATAACTATATACTTGACTCTGAATTAATGTGTGTAAAGTGTGTGTTCCCGGAGCCGTCAAAGAAACTAAAGTCTTCTGATTAAACATTCAAAGACCAATCAGACTGATATTCTGGAAAGAATTTCCTTTTACATATGTATATGTTAGCAGTTGTAAATGGCCTGTATTTGAAATAGTGCCTTCTAGAGTCCTGGCTTGTTTGCGTCTAAGGTGTGGAGTGGCTCTTACAAGAGCTGTTGTATCTATAATCACTCGCAGTGTTGCAGAGGTTTTGACCTGAGGTCAAAAGATGGGATGGTTCCAAAATGCTTGTTTCCAAATTGGCCGGTTCGAGTCAGCTGGAAACTGAACTAATTCTGGAAACAATTCTGTTTTATCAACACGTTGCTTATAAAGTTGGCAAATCAGAATTTGACTTGTATGAGGGCTTTATCAAAACATAACTCAGAGGTCCCGCCTTCCTTCACAAAAACCCCTCCGGGTCTCCGCCATACTTCTCTGCTCCTCCTTGTCCCACAGTATGTTTTATTGAAAAGACAGGACGAAGAAGGCGGGGCCTTCTTGAGTTAGAGTTATAGACACAAACAACGCACACACACACACCACATTCCAAAACTACCCCATCAGGTGGAAAGCTGTTTAACATAGGGAGTGAAAACAAGGTCACATTTCCTTCATACAAACCCAGGTGCATTCATTCGACAGTTTCCCATGGGAGTGTTACTGATAAATCAGACCAAGCTGGTCTGAGGCAAGGTCAAGTCCTTCCTGTGGAGACTGATACTTAGCAACAGGATGAAACTTGCGTTTAAACATTTTTAATGAAGCACCAGACGTTTTAGCAGTCAAGGAACTAACATCAATTTTTACTTAACAAGTACCTTATTTTAATGTGTATGAGTGTAGATATTAACTTGTTAAATCAAACACATACTGATCTGGTGTAGATAAGATCTGAAGTGGATCATTGCAGGAACAATATTCATTATAAAGCACAGATCACTCAAACATTGGATTTAAACATCATGTTCATATAACACATATTTTTTCAACTTACAAGCTGTAAAGTCACGTAGGAACTTCGAGTAAGTAGACATTAATTCCTTGTAAGGAATGCAGCAGTAATGCATGAGGCCTTGAGCAAAGATGTTTTGGCTTCATTGCAGTAGCAAGAACTGGGGCAGAACCTTGTTTTGGATTTGGGGCCAAACATAAGTTGCTTTTCTGTCTGCAAATGGAAGGCTACTTTCTGGTCAATTTGTCTGTGAATATCTGGCCACTTGGTATGTTACAGTGTCAACGTGGCAGGATACCACAGAACAGCGCTATGCCCTCTGTTGTCCTGGCGGGGAATTGCTTTGCAACACCCCACTGCCTGAACAGAAGTTCGAATGTGAAAACCTTTCCGACTCTGTGTGCATCTCTCCATTGCAGATCTCACGGAGAAGTATAAATATAGGCTTAACCCTGGAGTATGAAGAACATTTGTCATGTACATTTACAAAATGAAATCTATCAGGTAGGATGTAAACCAGCCTAGCGCTGTTCCTTTGATCCCTACAACATGTTCAAGCCTTTCTAAAAGAACATTGTGATCAACTGTGTCAAAGGCAGCACTGAGATCTAACAAGACCAGAACAGACACAAGATTCTTATCTGAGGCCATGAGAACATCATGTTTGGTTTAACCAGAACTTCTCTTCTGAGTTATCAGTGGTCTTGAAGATTACCATGACCTGGATGACTGAGAACCTTCACCAGCATATCAGTGGTCTCCTTTGAAAAGCAGCTGAAAGCTCACATGTTCAGCTTTTGGTGTGACCTTCATCACTACCCTTTCCTTATTCTGCCTTTCCCAGGATCCACTGATTACCTTTCTTATTCATTTTCCCTTTTCCTTTCTTCATAATTTTTAATCACAAATTTTTATTTGCATCATCTTAATGTTTAATAATTTTCTAATCTTTCTTTTAAATTTGTTCTTTTAAAGCGGCTCGTGATTTTTATTATACTGATGCTTTATGACTTGTTGATGCAAAATAAAGAGCAGAAGAGTTTACAGTTTTTATCTTTATTTAGACCGACAGGAAGAGGAACAGGCTGCAAAGAGGAAGAAAACCTAAAGATAAACAGGCTTTTATTTCTGTAGTTACAATAAATAATGGGATCCCAGCAGCCGTTTTCTGTTGATGCTGTCGAAATTGCAGAAATGTTTGAAGGAAAACAACCTCAGAACATTAATCTGGATTTAAACATCAAGAGACAGCTGGTGAAGACATTTTTGACTTATACAGGTTTTAACTTGCTGACTTAGCAACTTCCACACAGAACACAGCAGCATTTATTTTGAAAGGGAAAAAGTGGAGAGATCAGCTGATCTGAATAAAACCCAGAGAGTTCAGGTGTTTTTACACGTTGAGGGTTTTTTTGACTGAGAAGATGATGTCTTTGACCTGAGGAAGACTGTGATCCTCTAGGATCTTGGCATAAGGCATGGGGATGTCGACACCCGTTACCCTGGTAACCGGAGCATCCAGGAAGTTAAAAGCAGAACCTAAAAAAAAGGAAAAGTTTATTTTCTCAACTGACAAACAGTTTGCAAGTACATGACCACAACTTCTTCCGACTACAGCCTGGATAACATCAGTGACTTATTTAGCACCACTCAAATTGATCTGGTCCGCTTGGACGGCTTTTCCATCAGTAACAACCACGCGGGCGGTGTTGACTGTTCAGTAGCAGCTTAAACGTGGTTCTGAGCACAGTGAGCCAGGGCCGAAAATGAGACGTCATGGTTGCTGGTAGGCTAGTGGGCGAAGCAAGAGTAGAAAGTGGGTGTGTTTACAATTTGCTGACCAATTTCTGTTTTTCAGTTTGTTAAGCAGTTTTGTCATAAATCATAAAAACAGAAGTCTCATCTAATCAGCGAAGAAGTGTGTTCCGCATACGTCACTGATTGATGCGTTTAGAGGAGTTAGTGTTTGTAAACACTGGCGCTCCTTAGTGATAATCCATTAGGAATGGGCCATATGGCTTAAAGGCTATATCGCAATATATTTTGAAGCACGTGTGTGTGTGTGTGTGTGTGTGTGTGTGTGTGTGTATACACAGGGCTCCTACAGGTTTCATCAAGTTAAAGTCAAGAGTTTTTAAGACCTTTTCAAGACCACTTATATAAAAAGTTATACCTATTTCAAAGCCCTACCGGCAAAAAAATATCGTTGAACTTGTGTTAATTTATTTTTATTACATTTTGCCAAAGCACTCGGTAGAGAACAGCAGCAGAGCTGTTTGAGCTTTCACAGAAAGAGTAGCTAGGTAACGTAAAACAAAGGTTTAACATGACCGCGTCAGTAGGGCTGGGTGCCAGTAGATATTTCTAGATGCTACTACTTTAACCTGGTTTTTGATGGCAGTACCTTAACAATACTTTTGTTGAAATCAATTTTTTTATTTTATGAGAGGATAACAAACTACTTAATGGTTTTATTTTTATCGTTTGTATTACATTTATTTATATTATACTTTATTTCCAAAAAAGTTAAGCAACAAAGCTACAGTGCAAACAGTAAAGGCTGGAACGTACAAAAGGGTCTATTTTTCACCATCTAATTGACACAACATAAACTTTCATATACATTCAAGGCTGCACCATCAGTCGGGACCCAAAACAACCCTTTGCCAACTTATTGTTCCTCGCTTCACCCAAGGTCCTGCACTCTCTGCGTAGAAGCCAGACTGCTGATTCCTCATCTTAAATACAGATCAAACCTACTCGAAGACTCCATGACTTTACAGTTATAAGCTTAAATAATCATATGTGATGAATAAACAAGATGTTTACATCAAATGTTTGAATAATCTGTGCTTAAATCAATAAAATGTTCTGACAACGATCCATTTATATCACAAATCAGTATGAGTTGATTTAACAAGTTAATCATTGTTTACACTCATACACCATTACTAGGGCTGGGGGTAAACGATTATTTTTAAAACGATTATTCTGACGATTATTTTATCGAATAGTCGACTATTCTAATGACTATTTAGAAAATTAATCTAATGATTATTTTTCTATTGCACAATTAACAAAAACCAGAAAATCTCAAATAAATTCTTCAAAATAAATTGATAAATTGTTACTGTAAGAGAATAAACACTACAGGCCTTCCATTTTGTATAACACTGCGTTTATTGTGTTGGTTGGTTATGTTCTGGTGACATGTAGAACTTGGGAGTGCAGGCTGCTGCCTGAGAGGTGGTAGAAGATGGAGTGTCTCCATGCTGCTTTGTTTTGGTCACTTATGTGCGTGAGGCGAGTGGTCTTAAGGGTTAAACCAAACTCAGGTGATATTTTACACTAAACCGAAAACCCACAACACTCTAAATGTAATAAAAGGGAGATCTACACCACAAAAAAGATGAACTCTAAACCAAAACGTAACAGCTTATCCCAACGCAAGAAGCTGTTAGCGAAGATGCTAACAGTAGCTTTACCAACGTTAAGTTCAAGTTACCAAGTTTAAATAAACCAAAAACACCCAGCAGCAAACAGACCAGCACGGAGGAGAGACTGCTACCACCAAAACAGCTCTCCTACTGTCTGAAAGAAGCTCCTTAATGAAGGGAGAAACGCTCCCGGTGATTTTCTACATCTGCGGTAGAGACGAAGCAGCACATCTGACCCCGGAAGTTGTTGTCCGTTGCTGGGAGACGAAGGCGGGCAAAACAGGAAAATAATCTAGTAGTGGACGGACGTTGTTCCGGGTCTTCGGTATTTGGCGGAGATGTTAGTGAAGGCGGAGAAGAGGGCGAACTAGAGGAAAAACAGGCAGATTCCTCCTCTATTTACAAACTCCTGGGGATGCAACAAGTGGGCGCGGTGCGTCGACTTCCGGATCTGACGTCGACAAATTTTTAGAATCGAGCCGTCGACTTCGTCGAGGCTTCGCTACAGCCCTAACCATTACAATAAGATACTCATTAAGGTTAAAACCTTGTGTATCTGAGGAGGGCATGGCTTTCTGAGGGATGTTGGTAAATACTCGGAAACGTGTCAAATTCTGATTGTAATGAGTTTTGGCCAAGTTTAGCCAAAGTGGTTTAATAAACAAGAATTACTTCCCGATTAAGATTCAGTTTCCAGCTGACTCCCAATTCGACCAAATCGGGAAAGAAGCATTTTTTGAAACAATCTCCTTTGACCTTTAGTCAAAACCTTTCTGCGACGCAGCAAGCTACTTCAACTCTCAGACATCCACCTTGGACACAAATGAGCATTCCACCTTCCTGGCTTCAGACTGGACGGGTCCTATCAGAGCTGTCTACAGGTTCCTGATATCAGAGGTCCACTCCATCAGCAGTGACCAGCACGACCCCCTGGATCGAACGAGAACCTCCACACCAAGGGTGTGTAGACTGGCACAGATTACGTCTGATGAGCTTAAACAAACAACTCTCTAGTTTATAAACAAACAACTCTCTAGTTTATAAACAAACAACTCTCTAGTTTATAAACAAACAACCCTCTAACAACAAATTCTTTTACAACCCAGACAACTTCTCTCAGATACAAAGAACGGTTGCTGAACATCTAGCTTCCATCACACCACATCTCATTATTCATATCTTGTCATGTATAATCATTAGTTTAGTAAAATAATTCATTTTATAAACTATATACTGACTCTGTCTGAAGTAATACAAAGTGTGTTTATGGTCCCTGAAGAAGCAAAGAACCCTAGAATCTTCTGATTAAACATTAAAGATCAGTCAAGTTGATATTTCATATTTGTATGGAATATCACATCTTATTGGTCATAATTAATATGTAGTGATAATGTAAATCATTAATCACGCTTCAATGTGTTATTATTGACTCAGACCCGAGCTTCTCTGGACATATTAAGGCCATAACTAAATCAGTGTTTTATCACCATCTAACATCAAGAGTCAGAGGTCTCATGTCCAGACCAGACTAAGAGAAACTTATTCATGCTTTTATTTCTAGTCGTCTGGACTATTGCAATGGTCTCCTAACTGGTCTTCCAAAAAAGCTGTGAAACAACAGCAGCTTGTTCAGAATGCTGCTGCTAGAGTCTTAACAAGAATTAAGAGAACGGGGCACATCACTCCTGTTCTTAGATCCCTACACTGGTTACCAGTAAACCACAGAATAGATTTTAAAGTGCTCCCACTAGTTTATGAATAACTCAATGGCATGGGACCAGAATACACGTCCCATCTCATTCCTGTATATACACCCAATAGGGCTCTGAGATCCCTTGGAAACAATCAGCTGGTAGAACCTCGGGTCAGAACCAAACATGGTGGAGATGCATTTAGTTACTATGCTGCACAAATACGCAATCAGCTTCCCCATGACCTCAGATGTGCCCCAACCCTAGTGTTGTTTAAAACAAAACTAAAAACCCTAATGTACTCATCAGCCTTTACATGAATTGTTTCTTATGCGGCATCGTCTCCTCTGTAATCTGTGATGTAGCTTTGTTTTCTCCTTTAGCTCTAAACTGTAAGTCTATCTGTGTGTATTTTAATTTGTGTTTTTATGTTGTTTTCATATCATGTCCTGGTAATTGTATAGCACATTGAGTTGCCTCTGTGTTTGAAATGTGCTCTACAAATAAAGCTGCCTTGCCTTGCCTATAGAACAGTCTTTACTCTTGCTTGACTTCATGTCAGTAACAGCAGTAATAACAACCTGCTGAACTGCATTTATAATGCTGCTAAACAGCAGCTAAGTTGGTTTTATGTCCCGTTTCTGCTTTTATCAGCCTCCATCCTCAGACTCCTCCTGTGTTTTGGAAGGTGATGGACAAGGGTTTACTTTTTTGCGGTCAAAGCTCTCCATGATGCCCTGCACGATGATGTGATTTGTTAAATTGCTACTATTCCTAATTTTTGCAGCACAAATCTCACTGGTGTTGCATTTAGAATGGATTTTTAGCTTTTTCGAACTGCAGAGAAGCGCTGTTAAAAGGAGACGCGTCTCCACCACTTGTAATGTGACTTGGGATCAGTCATGTGACCCACGGTTGCACATTGGGACAGCTTTATACTTTGTTCTGATATCGGTACCTACCGAATGTTTTCACTCAGTCCCAAAGAGGTCCAGCGTTCTGGCACCCAGCCCTAGGCGTCAGTCAGCCTTTCTACTGGTCTGCTGAGATTTTCTGCATTCCTCCTCTGCTGGAGGTCTGTGTTATGTTAACCATTTAGTATCGCTGCTGTAGCGCGGGAGCTGAATACATCACGCGTTCGGAGTACTTTGACATGAGGCTGAGCTGCGTTCTCAATGATTGGTTCCGCCACTCCTTATATATGCTACATTATTTAATAAAAATGATTTTGGTTGAGAAACGAAACATAAGAGGAGAAATACAATATTTACATACAAATTTTAAGGCCCAGTTGTCAAAATTCAAGACTTTTTAAAGACTTTTAAAGATATTCTTTCCAAATTTCTAAATTAAATGCTTTTAGGGCGTTTTAAGTCCCCACAGGAACCCTGTGTACAAGGGTCTCCAAATCTGCAAATGGGTTCTAAATCCAACGAGTCACCAGTTGAGGTTTCACATCGCAGTGTTTCCCCTACATAGGCTCAGCGTGGCGCGGTGCCATGCATACGAGACCCCCCCCCCTCCACACACACACACAGATGCACAAAAGGGAAGCGCCCAGCACACAATGCCTAAACAATGCACGGCAGCAAAACGGTCCGCGCTCTTCTACTACTACTTCTATTACTGATAATGTATACTAATACTACAAATAGTGTATCGGTTCACTACCTTCCATGACTCTGGCACAGATCTCAGCTCCGACTCCAAACTGAGGCCAGCCTCCCTCCACCGTCACCAGGTGGTTGGTCTTCATCACGCTGGTCTCAATGGACTCCACGTCCATTGGGCGAATGGTCCGAAGGTTGATGACCTGAAACCAAGAGATGGAGGAAGTCGCTAACAGGCTGAAGAGGTGACTTGAAGATGACCTTACAACTGTGTTCGTCTACCTCACACTCAATTCCCTCTTTAGCGAGGACAGCTGCAGCATCCAGGCAGTGACCGACAAACCGAGAGTGAGACACCAAGGTGACGTGATTTCCTGGTGAAAGAACACCGAAAGTCAGCGAGGATGTTAAGAGGTCTCGGAGCCTGAAGCCTCACTGAGATTTCTTCACTTTTCCTGCTCACTGCTTTTACAACCGCTGAGAAAAGAAATTAGCTTTTGGTCTCCACAGGAAAGAGGACATCACTCTCACCTTGTCTCTCAATTTTTGCCTTGCCGATGGGAATGGTGAAGTCTTTGGACTGCGAATCCTCAGACATCTCGAAAGGAACGCCGTACATCAGCTCGTTCTCCAGAAACACAACTGCAACAGAAAAAGTTCTCACCTGAGGACGTTCTTAGGTTGTAATTACACAGTGCATGTGCACGTGCAATATTCTTTGGTGGTACTATGGTAATAGCGTATACAGTTGCTGAATAGCTCTGTCAATGCTGTCATGAAAACAATGTAGTGCACTTATGAGACAAGAATGAAAATTTTAAAAAGTCATTTAATACGTAAAACAGATGTTACATTTTCAGTTTCACTTAAATTTAAGTTTATTTATATAGCCCCAAATCACGACAAAAGTCGTCTCAAGGAACTTCACATAGTAAAAAAAAAACTTAAACGGCTTTTGGAGGCGTTCCATAAAGTTTATGATCATCATGTCATCATGTGACAGTGCGGAGTAGAAGATCATCAGGGGGTCTTTTGTTCCCTCTTCGGGGGGAAACTCCCACTGGGTTTGAATCTGGGACTCTCCACTTTTCTTTCAAAGCTCCTTAGACAGTATCTGAGATTCAGTTTCTGAAGGGTCAAGGTCCAACCCAACTGTTTGTTAATGCCACTTGAGTCTTGCATTATAATTTTTAATTACTCATGGTAATACCGTACACCGTGGTAAAATGTAGAGGAGGTTTAACTGTGCGCGCGTGTGTAAGCGGTTGAGAAACCCTAAAACTGGACTTAAATTTGTCTCTCATCCTGCTGTTTGGTCTCACCTGGATTATCATCTCTGATAGCGGATTTCAAGAGACCTTTGGCATCTTCTGAGTTCCAGGGACTGACAACCTTCAGACCTGGACAGTGAGCGTACCTGCAGACAAAAATCATACAGACTCCACTCACGTGTCATACCCATGCACCAAACCATAGAAACTCCTGATCTTGTCCAGGGGCCTCATTCATCAGGCGTTTGTAGAAATATTCCTTAATTCGTTCCTACCAACGAAATCCACAAAATCCTGATTTATAAAACATGCGGTGGCCTCACGTACGTACGCTCTTCCACACTCGTTTGATGATAAATCTCACCTGTGCGTACCCAGGTGCTCATGTCCGTTCTCAGTCAGAAACACCCTCATTTAACCATATCTGGTCACGCTACGTCTCAAGCTCATGAGTGGAGTACCTAGGTTCCTCCCGGAAAAAATTAAATAAATAAAACTTTGTTGACAGCAAGATCAAGACACTGGTTGCCGAAGTGAAAGAGAACCAAACACGTTGCAGAGGTTATAAACGCAGTCGGGACAGAGGAGAGGTTCCCATCAGGAATAAATAAAAACTTTAATATGATAGATTGTTTAGTGACGGGTTGTCATTTGCATTTAAGGAGGTGTTGTCAGAGAGCGCAGCTTCTTCTGAGCTGTCATTCGGTCTGGTTCTCATGACAACATGTGTGTGATCTGGGAGCAGAGGAGGTTCTGGGGAGTTCATGTAGTTGTAAAATAAATGATTAACTGGATTCATGTGGTTTGTCGCTCTACAAAGGATCCAGAAGGATTTCCTTCAGGAATCAGATCAGTGCGCTCATGGAGGATGCATTTGCTCAAGAGAACACGCTCTGTCAAATCCTCCTATAACACCAGATCAGCCATGATACGATGTCAGATTACCGTCAGTCACATGCGCTATTTAGAGGTTTTAGCACCATTTATCTGATGCAGCTATTTTTCCACCAAAATATATTGGGTGATGTTTTTTCTTCTTGGGAGGGGCTCCGCTGGGGGGTCCCGCTGGGATCGATCCTTGGTCCTCTTTTGTTTGCCATTTATCTGCTTCCTCTGGGGTCAATCTTTCGTAAACATGGCCTATCACTCCATCGCTATGCTGACGATTGCCAGATTTACTCTCCATTGTCTCAGGAGAAAGGTCACTCTATCCAGTCCTTTGTGTCCTGTCTTAATGAGGTGAAGTCTTGGCTAATGGCCAACGTTCTGCATCTGAATGAGGGAAAGACAGAGCTCATTGTTTTTCACCCCAACAGCAGGAATGTGGATCGTCATGTTGATCTAGGCCCTCTTTCTCCCTACTCAAAACCAGTTGTCACCAGTTTGGGGGTGAAAATTGATGCTGGACTTAAATTTGATGCTCACATCAACTCTGTGATCCGGTCCAGTTTCTTTCACCTGAGATGCCTTGCAAAAATCAAGCCTATGCTGTCAAGAGCCCACCTGGAGTGAGTACTGCATGCATTTGTAATTTCTAGGCTTGATTACTGCAACTCTCTCTATGCAGGGTTGTGTCAATCATCACTGCGCCGCCTACAGGTTGTGCAGAACAGCGCAGCCAGGTTCCTGACTGGGAACAGGAAACAGGACCACATCAGTCCGGTTCTGGCCTCCCTGCACTGGCTTCCGGTTTGCTATCGTTCACACTTCAAACTCCTCGTCTTTGTTTTTAATTTCTTCCAGGGTGGTGCTCCCCCCTATCTGGCCATGCTCCTGAACAGACATTCCCCATCACGCGCTCTGCGCTCCTCCGACCAAGGCCTGCTCGCTGTCCCTCATTCTAGGTGTCGTACTCGCGAGGACCGGGCTTTCTCAGTCCTAGCACCGTCACTCTGGAACCAGTTGCCACCCTCAGTTAGGCTGTCCCCATCTCTGCCAGTCTTCAAGAGTCGCCTAAAAACCCACCTCCTCCGCTTGGCGTTTCCTGAACGTGTTTGAATTTGGCCCTCTTTTATGTTGATTTTATTTCACAGTTTTCATTGGTTCACTCTATCCCTTGTTTTACACATTTGTCCTGCACTAGAATGTTTCACCTTTTTTTGTAATTTGTAATGTGTAATTTGAATTGCTTTTATTTTCTGATTTACTCACTATATTTAACTTTCTACTGTACCATGTTCAGCACCTTGGGCTTCCTGACAGGGTTGCGGAAGGCGCTTTGTAAAGTTTTGATTGATTGATTATTTATTAGATAAAATAATAATTAGATGTGGAACATGTGTGGATGACTGAGACCTTCATTCCTGCTGTTCCCACAATCTACCACTAGATGCTGTTCGTACTCATGGTCCAAGCGGTTTTTATTGGTGGGTTTTACATGACGTTGCATCTACATCACCAAAGGCAGATGTGGGTCCGGAAGTAGCTGGCGCTGCACTAAACACTATTTACTTTGGTGACTGGGCGTTAAATGCCTAAATTCTGTGAGGTCTACGGTTATTACGATCACTCTAATTGGGACAAACGTTATTTTCATGTCCCAAATGTAGTGCGCCACTAAAGACTTAAAAGTCTCTTTCTGGAGTATTTCTATTAACTGATGGCACCATCTAGTGGCTGACAAGCATAGCACAAACAGTCTCTGGATCCATTTTTAAAGATGGCAACTTCACGTTTCTGTTTATAAAAGTGCTTCTGTAGCCGACAAACAGCTAAAACACGTTGTTTTACCATTGAGACTTACTTGTACGTGAAAAGTTCATTTACTCTGCATCAGCCGAGGTATTCCCTACATCTGAAGCATCTAAGCGGAAGTCTAACGTTATTGGTTATTTCTGGTGGGCGCTCAGTTTCCTATTGCACAGAGCTCTGCGGGGCAGGGGGTGTGCTTAGCAATAAAAAAAAAAGACTTATCGCTTAAATTATATCATAGTACATGCTAAATCACTTTTATGGATTTCTGACAAACCATACATAATTTCTGAAAGGGGGAAAACTCCGGAAAGATACTTTAATTGAAAAATAATAACTAAATGTAATGTACTGACAGAAGACGGCAGAGGTGGATCAGTAATCTACGGCTTAAAACAGGAGCTAAAACGGACGATGCTGGAGTTTACAGAAATCACTTTCTATCTACAGAAATCACTTTCTATCAGGTGAGAGATTACGGAGTGTTTTATTACACAGTTGCTTAGAAACAGCCACAAAAACCACAGATTAACAGTTTTATACTGTTTTCACATGTCCTCACTGCTAATAGCTTTCAGAGTACTAATGTTTTTAGCAGTTAGCTTAGTGTTTTAATGCATTTGTACCTTATTAAAATCAAACGTACCAGAAATTTGGATTTAAAAAGCATAAAAAGTTACTTACAAGTAGATGCCAGCAAATACTGATGGTTAGCATTAGCGATAGCGTTATTATCATGAGTTAAAAAAAACAGCGCAACTCACTACTTACCCGAGCAAAAACAAGACAACGGTCATCTAAAGCTTCTCCAGATCACTAAAAGGTTAACCAACCAGAAATACAACAGCTGCAGGCTTCCAGGCGTGTAAGAGGCTTTCGTTTGGTTTGCAGTGAGACATGAGGAAGGCAGCACACGGTAGTTTGTGGCAGATCGCTTCAGCGCCGGGTAAATCCTCCACAGTGGATGAAAAGTGTGACTTTTAAAACTTTATGGGTCGTAACATCAAAGAAGATGTATTTGTTCACGTCTGTGCCAGCTCATTAAAGGCTCAGTAAAATCGCTTTCATCAATCGCGCCGTGTTGTATCTTTTGTTGCGGCGCAAAACACTTCCTGACCCATTTGAGTTTTGCATGGCTGCAGACGTCACGTGAGTGAAACCCGGCAATATTTAGGAACATTGCCACGAATAGTACAAAATGATGACTACCACACAATGCATAAATTAGTTCCTACACACGACGCACGCTGTATCTGTGCATAAGTACGGTTGAGAAATAGACTAGACTTTATTAATCTCACAGTGGAGAAATTCACTTGGTGAAATGAGGCCCCAGGAACCCAGCAGTCAGACGTTCCTGTAGTCCAGGCTAAGCAACAAGCTGAAAGACCTTCTGGAGGTCTGGCCACTGAGAAAGAACATGAAATCCAACCTCCTGATTATTTACAAGCTTCAGAACCTGAAAGTCATAATTTCTTGTCATTACAACGCAACATGTGTTTGAACGTACCACGCAGCAAAGCACTGTGAGTGCTGAGCAGCAACACCAGCCGACGCTCCGTTGGGTCCTCTGAAGACGATGGGAACTGGCTGCAGTCCAGCAGACATGTAGTAGGTTTTGGCTGCAGAGTTGATGACCTGATCAATGGCTTGCATGGAGAAGTTAAAGGTCATGAACTCACAAATGGGTCTAAGACCCGCCTAAAGGGAACAAACACAGAGTTTATTCCAAGTATTGAGGAGAAACCAGAGGAAGGTTCTTGACAGCGACTCAGGGTTAGGAATTCACTCATAACCAGAGGATTGCCGGTTCAACCCTGAAGCATGTCCATCTTCCTTCCTCAAATGCTCTGTGACCCTGTCCCCACTTGTGCCCTCTTGGTGCTGACCCAGAAAAGCAGAAGATGAGTGCAAGTACTACTACGAGTAGTACTAGCTTGTTGATGTTTACCAATGTAGATGCTTCATAATACTAAGCCCTCCCACTGTCCTAATGGGTGTGACCCCACGAGGAAAGTTGACCATTGAGCAGGGTTCATGGTTTATACCTTGGGTCCATGTGGCAGGGGTGAGGAGTGAGCACCACCTCACCCCTGCCATGTGGACCTCAAGGGATAAACCATCAATCCTGCTCAATGGTCAACTTTCCTCACGGGATCACCCATGAAGACAGTGGGAGGGTTAAACATTCTCCATCTCCTGATAATAACATTTTACTCTCTTTGACATTGAATGTGCTACTACTAGTTTACCCGTTTAATTATAGATTCACTAGGATAAATGCAATAAAGATTATCTTTCACCAAATAGAATATTTACTAAGAAACCACAATGTAACCATAGAAACATTACTTAGTATATGTTGTGTGTGTGTGTGTGGGTGTGTGTCTGCTCTGTCTTCTCCATCCCCAGTGAGTCGTGGTGAATGGCTGCTTATACTGAGCCACGACCTCTGGAGGTTTCTTCCTGTTAAAAGGGAGTTTTCCTCTCCACTGTTGCTGCATGCTTGCTTAGTAAGAGGATTGCTGTAAAGACTCTGACACTAGTCAGTGACTCGACGCAACCTGCTGGGTTCCTTATATAGGAAATGTTTTACTGATTGGCTTAATGGCCTGACCTCTATTGGAATGTTTACTGTGTGAAGGTCCTTGAGACGACTCTGGTCCTGATTTGATGCTTTATAAATAAACGGAATTGAATTGAATCATAAGTTATTCGATTTTCATCAACTTAAAAGATGTGTTGATGTTGCAGAATTAACACCATCTTACTTTGTTTAGATGTGACTGAATCATCACACTTCCTGTTTAAAACAACAGACGCCAAATGATTTGGACATAGTTAAAGCTAAATCCAATAATGAACCAAATGGAGGCACTGATGCCGACCCTAAACCTAACACTTGATTTGGTTTGGTCGTTCTTACGTTGTTTTGTGGTCTATGTGTTGTGTGAAGACAGGAACTCACCATAGCAGCTCCCACTGCAATCCCAGCGAACCCCATCTGCACCAGAGACAGAAACCAGCTGATGGATCCATGCTAACCAAAGTCAAATTTTACCCCAGCAAGCTCTCACCTCTGAAATGGGCGTGTCAATGATTCGTTTGTCCCCGTACTTCTTCCACAGACCTCTGCTCACCTGCAGACGCATTGTACAAAAACAATCGGGTCTTTTTTTATTCTAGATTCCTTTTGTTTTAAATTTTAAAGGAAAATGGAAAATTAGCAGTAAACAGAAGTTCAACCAACTTAATGAAATTAACTCCTTTAAAGGTTCGATCTGGTTCTGATGCTTTAAAGACCCCAAGGAACAAGGAGTTTTCTGGTGTTTTAATCTAGATGTTCAGATCTACCTTCTTTACTTCTTAGATGTTTGAACTGTGGCAAAACAGCTTTGCAGTGTGTTGTTGGTAGAGCCTCGTGATTTTTATCTTACAGTTTCTTCTTCTAATTTTAGAATGATAAATTAAACCTCTGAATTTAATATCAACTGAACACAAATACATATAAACTTGCTGTTATATTAAAAAAATCAATTAATAATAGGGATGCTCTGATCCAATCATGGGATTGGAAAACAGGTCGGATCTAACAGAGTTAGGTGGAAAAGCTACAATGGCAATTCTGCTAAACAAACAACCTTAAAACATATTGCTTTTTCCTCGTAACAATGTTCTAACATAGCATAGCAAAACATTTACTAAAAAAATATATATATCAATAAAGCTGTTCCATCTCATTTGTCTAAAAACAGTTACCAAAAACACGTTTCAGACTGAAAGCAACTATTGGACATAGACATGCTTGATATAGGCTTTTTTACTGATATCCGATATATGATATTGTCCAACTCTTAATTTCCGACACTGATATTAACTGGCACCAAGATTTGCAGGGTCCCCCTTCATAAAAACAGACAAACTAAACCATTTTAGGATGCTAACATTACATTTCTCCCATCATGCTTGATAAACTGTAAACATTATCTGTGCAAAATATCAACTACTTCAATGTAAGTTAGTTACAGCAAAATGCCGCATTTAATTTGTCTCCAACAGCTGAATCACACTCTCCAAGGAGATAATCCTAACAAACAGCCTGTGACACCTTTAGACCAATAATTATTACGTTTATTAGGGGTGTAACGGTACGCTAAACTCGTATTCGAGTTGGTTCAGTGTTTTGAACTGCTCAGTTCGATTAATTTTTGGTAGATTATGATAATATTTATTTAATATCTGAATGGCTCCTATAGTGAGCAGAACCAGGTGTCATCACAGGCTGATGATCTAGCATTATGTCTTTTATTATTTCACAGGTTATTTGCGCCACAGACATATCTACGTAGATGCCCTGTGGACTGGCGCTGTCCATTAGAGATGCCGTAATAGCCAACCACCGTTTTACATAGATTAGCCTCCAGTGCATTAATTTCTACTGGAGGAAGCTGCTTGCCCTAGTAACAACCACATTTTATCAGCTTTTTCAAAAAATCAAGGTACGGCATAGGGCTGCACAATATATCGAAAAATTATCGTCATCGCGATAACAGGACGTGCGATAGGCCATCGCAAAGCACGTCAAAAATGGCGATAAATGTTTGGTTCAACATTTCCATCCGTGTCATACATCAGCTTTTTGTAAACCAGCTCTGTTTTTTATGCGGAAGTATTATTTGACCAATCAAATTTAGCCCATCTGATATGCGGCCAATCAGATGGGTCCGTTCACGTAATACTCCCGCCTCCTACATAGACCCTGAGGATGGAAAGCAACACCCGAACAGAGATAGCGGCGCCGTTCCCTTGTTCATCATGCTGGCTCAGAGCAACAAACGCACTTTGTGCTGATGTTTCTGGAATCAGCGCTGCTTTCAAACGTGAACGCGAGTCCGCTCGGTGTCGTTAATCATTTTTACCGGGCTGACTCCGACACGTGCCGGTGAATGAACCAACCCACCTTCATGTCGCTAGTGTTCCACTGGGTGGTGATGTTAGCCCCAGGCTCCGGTTAGCTTCCAGCTAAAAGGCTACAGCACTCTCCTCCCAGTCCCACCCTGCTAAAGAGGGCCTGGAAAAGTTCCCCCACACATCAAAGTGATTTTTCATTTATGAGCTTTTATAACCTTGTTAATCAGGAGAGTTGATTTGCTGCTGCACATAAACTGTCAGTCAGAAGCTCTGCTAGCCGGTTATCTTAAGAGGAGCTAGTTCAATTTGTTAGCTTGTTATCAGAATCATAGTTTCATCATCTGAGCTGCTTTTTAAGATCTAGGTAAACTTGTTCAATTTGGGGTTAAAACCAAACGTTTTCACATATTTTCCATGTAGTTTTTTTTTGCCAGTTCCTCTTCTGAAAGGTAGACAATTGTTTTTCTCTTTCCCTCAAAAAATCTTAATATTCTCCTAGTTTGGCCCAGCACAGTTCACTTTCCAATTGCAGCAACAGCCTTATATCATAACCACATAAGTGGAGAAAATGCTCAGTAGCAATGAGAGAATTTGCAGTTGCATTTAAGTTATGTTAACTATTATTTAACATTTAAACTTATTTTCTGATTTTTTTTAATTCAGAAAACCCTGGTAAGGGATGTTTTTCTGTATTTGGAGCATCAAAAAAGTTTTATGGTGGAGGTGATGTTTTAAAGTCACTGAGAAACTGCATGCATGCAGTTTGTTGTTTTGCTGCTAATATAGTAGCAGGTGCAGCTTCATATTTTTGCAATAAAAATGTTGTAATGGAATTCATGCGTTAGTTTTTGTTTGCTTTGAACCCAGAGCAGACGTCACATGCCAGACGACATCAACACTGCATACTTTAGTATTTGTTCATTTATCGCGAGTAATATCGGTATCGCAATATTAAGCATTGTTATCGAGTATCGCAGGTTTTCCTAATATCGTGCAGCCCTAGTATGGAATGATAATTAAAATACAAAAACATTAAATAAAAAGAAATACTAAATATAAAATCCTGTTAGGTAGACTAGAAAAATCACTAGTAATCCCACGTGATCTGTTTTCAATTGTACACTGGTTGTTCACATTGTCCATAATGTTGGGCGGGCTGGCCAGCCACCATTTAGCCAGCCTGATTTCTCAGCATGTTCCCTTAGAACAGGATCACTCCTTCACTGTGGTGGAGGCAGCAGTTAGCTCAGAGTTAAACGGCATGACTCCTTGCCACCGAGGAAGCTCCTGAGACCAGACTCCCTCCTCCAATGCGGCAGAGCTCCCATCCCCTCCTGATCGCCAGCCAGCCAGGCCCATGGAGACAGAACAGTAGGTCCTGCTAGCCTTTTTGTTTATTTCCCTGTACCACCACCTGGGCCGGACAACACAAACCCTTCCTTCCTCCAGGCCAGTGCCAACCCGCGTGCACACAGACACCCAGTCCTCACCACCGAACCGATCAATGCTCAGACAAAAACGACAAGAACCCAGTGGAGCTGTCCAGATCTCACAAGCGACCCAGTCCCACTCTATAGGCCACCCTGGTGGCCGGGCCCAGCCCGAACCGGACACATGGGCTAATCCAACTGTGGACCCACCACCCGCAGGAGGAACATGAAGGGTCCGGTGCAGTGTGGATTGGGTGGCAGACCGAGGCGGGAGCCTTGGAGGTCCGATCCCCGGACAAGGAAACTGGTTTTTGGGACATGGAACGTCACCTCGCTGGCGGGGAAGGAGCAGGAGCTTGTGGCAGAGGTTGAGCGGTACCGGCCAGATATAGTCGGACTCACCTTGACACATAGCATTGGCTCTGGAACCCAAGTCCTAGAGAGGAGGTGGACACTCTCCTTTGCTGGAGTTGCTCCTGGTGAGAGGCGGAGGCCTGGGGTTGGCTTTTTGTTAGCCCCAAGACTCTCTGCCTGTGTGTTGGGGTTTACCCCGGGGGACGAGAGGGTAGCTTCCCTGCGCCTTCGGGTTGGGGAACGGGTCCTGACTGTTGTTTGTGCTTATGCGCCACATATCAGTTCAGAGTACCCACCCTTTTTAGAGTCCCTGGGACGATTACTAGATAGTGCTCCATCAGGGGACTCCATTGTCCTACTGGGGGACTTCAATGCTCACGTGGGCAATGACAGCTTGACCTGGAGTGTTTTAACTGGGAGGAACGGCCCGGCCCGCCTGATCTGAACTCGAGTGGTGCTTCGTTATTGAACTTCTATGCAAGCCGCAGTTTGGCCATAACGAACACCATGTTTGAACATAAGGATGCCCATCGGTACACTTGGTACCAGGGCAGCCTAGGTCGCAGGTCGATGATAGACTTTATAGTCGTATCATCTGACCTGAGGCCGTATGTTTTGGACACCCGAGTCAAGAGAGGAGTGGAGCGGTCAACTGATCACCACCTGGTGGTGAGTTGGACCAGATGGCAAGGGAAGATGCCGCGTAGACCTGGCAGACCCAAACGCATAGTGAGGGTCTGCTGGGAATGCCTGGCAGAAGAACCTGTCAAGACGGTCTTCAACTCCCACCTCCGGTAGAGCTTTGACAGCGTCCCGAGAGCAGTGGGGACATTGACGCCGAGTGGGCCTTGTTCCACTCTGCGATTGTTGAGGCGGCTGTTGCTAGCTGTGGTCGCAAGGTGGCCGGTGCCAGAAAGAACGAGATTGCGGATACAAGGGGCCGAAATGAGTTTCCTCCGTAGGGTGGCCGGGCTCAGCCTTAGAGATAGGGCGAGAAGCTCGGACATTCAGGAGGGACTCGGAGTAGAACCGCTGCTCTTCCGGATCGAAAGGAGTCAGTTGAGGTGGTTTGGGCATCTGGTCAGGATGCCTCCTGGACGCCTCCCTGGGGAGGTGTTTCGGGCATGTCCTGCCGGCAGGAGGCCCCTGGGTCGACCCAGGACACGTTGGAGAGATTACATCTCCAATCTGGTCCGGGAACGCCTTGGGGTCCTGCTGGAGGAGCTGGTGGAGGTGGCCAGGGAGAGGACGGTCTGGAGCTCCCCATTTGGGATGCTGCCCCCGCGACCCGGATAAGCGGAGGAAGACGACAACGACTTCACATATCAGGCAAAGTCTGAGGAAAACACTCAAAATGATAACGATAATATGACCTGCACTTGTATAGCACCTCTCAGAGTAAGGACTCCAAAGCGCTTTACACTACAGTGTATCATTCATCCATTCACACACACACACATTCACACACTGATGGTGATGAGCTACGACGTAGCCACAGCTGCCCTGGGACGCACTGAGAGGCGAGGCTACCAAGCACAGACGCCACCGGTCCCTCCGACCACCACCAGCAGGCAAGGTGGGTTAAGTGTCTTGCCCAAGGACACAACAGCAGAATTCTCTGTCCGGAGCCGGGATCGAAACCTGCAACCTTCCAATTACTGGACAACCCGCTCAACCTGTTGAGCTACAGCTGCCCAACAGCAACAATAAAATACGATCCTATCCAGAAAGCCAGCCACTCAAAATAAAGCCATGATTCTCTTCTTTCAAACAATATAAGTATCATTTCTGTACCAAATAAACTCACAAAGCCAGCTGTGATCAAACAGAGAACAACACAGCTCTTTATCGGCAGTCAGCAGCCTGAAGTCTGTCTTACCTTAGCTGATTTGTGATGATAATCAGTGTTCCGGTAAAAAAATCCACTCGATTCGTGTAATCCGTTTTCCTACCGTCAAAACGAACTAATTTCTGACTGTTTTTGCCGTGTTTTGCTCCCTACAGGCGAGTTAGAAATCCGTGACGCCATCTAACCCCGGCTTTCCACCGGAGCCGTCAGTAGCATGTTACTGCAGCAGCACGTCATAGCTATTGATAGGAACTGCTGTGGTCAACAGAACCTTTTCCACTGGAGCCGTCAGCAGCGCGAGTCGGCCGCGTCTCAGGAGCAGCATGTCGCGGCCCTTACGCGCCGGTTCTATTTTCTATGCGCGACGCCTCTGAAACGGGTCAAGTTCGACATTTTTGGGGAAGGAAAGACAGGAAATCGGACGTGGAAATGGAGAGAAGCTCCTGAGATTTTCAGAATAAAGAAACGTACTGCCTTCCGGGTGCTTTACTTTTAAAAAAAGTTACTAAATGTGCTACCCCGTGAGAAGTTATCACCTAGCTAGCGGCCTCCTTTGTTTTTCAGGTCCGTATTGGCGATTATAAAACGGACAGAACATAAAACACAAACCTTTTGGAGCCATGTTGTAGTTTTCTCCTGCTTGTTGTTGTGTTTACTGACGAAGCCACTCATGTGACTTCGTGCTCGGTCGGTGACAGCTGCTCCCCTGCTGCTTCACGTCTCGTGGGAAGGGCCAAGCAGCAGCTTACGCGAGCAAGACGTGCTGCTGCAGTAACGTGCTGCTGACGGCTCCTGTGGAAAGCCGGGGTTACCCAGAAGATTGGCTCACCCCTTGGGGAGCTTGTGGTCTTTTTGTTTCAATCTGGACACAATGAAACACAGCACCACACGATTCTATTGGCTCAGAGCTTTAAGGCATGATTTGAACCACGCAAATCTTCCAATGGGATCCTGAGATATCCTCGCACGTAACACATCTTTGCCATGTGCGCTTAATAGTCAAGTTTCACTCACAAGAGCAGGACACACGAGGGAGTGTTTACCTGCAGTGCTGATTCTCTCTCACAAGCGTTTATTGACGAGGATCTTTTTAAGATAGTTATCTGCTTTTTTCGACATCATATTTTTACAATGGCTGGAAAAAACGAAGTTTTTCACCACTAAAGAGGTCCTGGATATGTTTGCTGATGATGGCGGTGCTAACGTGTGTCCGGTAGATTCCTGTCTGCAACCAACCAATAAAAACACACCATTGGGATGCAGCAGCAGCAACACCCCATCTCTCTGAGCTTTGGTTTCAACTTATGTTTAAAATGCGGATAAAAAATTACACACAAAAAGAAATGTTACATTTCAGCTGTTTTGTTAGTGATCTGCTTAGTGACGTATGCTTCGGGAGATACGCTAATGGCGTAGCGTGTCCTGTTGGAGTGAGGCATCATGCAATTTGCCGCACAGAAATCTTGTGTTGTACAGTGTGCCACCTCTCTGGAGTTCTCTCAATGTGACATGAACAATCCTGTGCACCATCCAAAAATCGCAGTGTGATCCCCGCATAAGCCATGTGCTGTCTGTATAGGTTTGAGAGTGGAAGGCTTGGTGACAGAGCGCGCCTAGATCTGTGTTGTTGATTGGTTAGGTGTCTAGTATTAAGCTACCTGATAGACTATAATTAATAAAGAATGGAAACTTTTTTTACCCACCCATCTTTTCTATTGCACCTCATGGCTATCGATAGATATGTTTCGTTATTGAATTATTGTCCAGCCCTAGGGCAGGGAGAGAGGGAAGGCTGAAGATGATTTCTGTTACGTTGGTGGACGTATGCAGACCAAGTTATGTTATTGATATGAGATTGAAATGATAAAATCCCTGGAGTATGACATCTAGACTCCTCTTCTGTGAGGTGGGAGAATTGGTGTGCATTATGAAATATAAATGTCAAATAATAAAGATTAAGGTCAAGCGTTTCAAAATCCAGCCAGAGTCCAAATAAAGGTATTTCAGCTGGTCAGGGGGACTGTTCAGAGCTACTAACAGATCACAGGAAAGTATGTCTGCTGGGAAGGACAATAGAAGACAATGATTAGGATTATTTGTGTATCACTTCTACCTTGTAGGCTCCGTCATACTGAGCCACTTCCTCACCCATCAGGAAAACACGTTCGTCCCTCTCCAGCTCTTCGTCCATTGCCTGATTCAGGGCATCACGAACAGTCACCTATTGGTAAGATGTCAAGAACACAATGACTAAGCATCCATCACCCCTAAACATCCAAATTGTTTGCCGAACGAGTCTATACTCAGAATCTGAGGTTACAACATGTCCCATGATGAAAAAAGCAGCATAGTCCAGCATGATTTCTATGCTGCTTTCTCAGCAGTGTTCCATTTATGTTTAAAGGCATGGTTCACTCTTTTAATCAATACATCTGCAGTGGTCTCTAGTAGGAATTAATATATACAACGCACCATTTCTTGGAACTAAAATGTACCTACAACACAGCTGAGCTTCAGAGGGCTGGATCTGGAGTCTTATTTCCTGATATGTGGACGTCTCTCTTCTGATTGGCTAACAGCAACACGACTCTACCACTGATTCAGTTTGCTCTGCAATGTTGATGTAATATCTCCACAAATAACAAGACTGGCGGAGTTCGGCGGTGAGGTATAGTTGCTAATGCTAACAGTTAGCTTCTACTGGTCCAGACGTTCTCTGGTGTTTCCTGGACGCTAAACCAACAACAGCCTTCCCCGTCGTGAGTCAAGATGGGCGAGTCCATGAATGTTAGTGACAGTGTGACGTAGATCTGTCAGATTTTTCAGGAGATTCACTGTCTATTTTCTATGAGAATCTAATGCAGGAGATAGGTGTAGGAGACTATGTTCAGCCTGTATCAAAAACTTAGTGACTGATTATAATCAGACATAACCATTAAAAAAAGTTTGTTCAACACCTTTACAAGGAGCAATATGTAAGACTTTTACAGTGAAATAAAAGTAATGTCTCAATCATGTTAGAAGGAAGATTACATTTAAACAGACTTCATTCTCAGCCGGATGGAGGCTTGTCAGTTTTCCTGCTTTCAAAATAACTAAAGAGGGATGTAGCGTTTGTTTACAATATGTGAGCCCGCGGGGTTGTTGAGTTCTTGTCACTGCAGCACTGGAATTTTTAACTTAACATCGTTCGGAACAATGCAGCAGTGTTTTATAAAGATCCTAAACCAGTAAGCAGGAGCAACCCCGAAGTTATTCCTTGTATCCCTAAGAAGCCATGGCATCCTTTGGTTTTACTGTAATATTGGGTAAAGAAGGCTAGAGGCTAATGTTGAGCTTAAAATGCTAACCGTGAATTAGAAGCAAAGCTCTAAAAATATAAAGCTTTTGTATTATTACCAACAACTCAATATTAGTTTAATTTTTTATCCACTTATCAACGTCAGTGTTTACCCAGTGCTTTATAAGCAGCCAGGCTTTCCTTGGTCACCCGATAGGCTAAGTGTGGTCCCCCTTGGCCCTGCTCTCTGCTGACATGGACGACGCACGGCAGCAAAGTTAACCGCGGGCCCACTTTTATGGATAAGGAATGGTGGCGCTACCCTACCCCTGCTCTCATGGTCCGGCCCACCATGCTTATCAAGTTTTCTGGGAGACACACTGAACTTACAGTGTGTGACTCATCTTCACTCATCATCTAGAAACTTCTGCCGCTGAGTCTAGCTGGCAACAGCCATGACATTCATAATGGGAGTGAGAAAAAGACTTGTTTTGCTTGGAGGAAGAGGTGCACTACCCAAATTTGACCACAGGATATCATTCTTACATAATGCACCTTTAATTTTTTTCATATTATCATCTAATAATCAACTGTAATATCTTTTTCTGGCTGTCCTCACAATATGAACTTATTTTTGTAATTTTGCATTTGCTTTCCGCCTCAAGGACGATTCTGTAAAGTGTGTTCTTCTTTTTCTTGGCGTTAGTAACTATTTTTCTGTTTTCCTGATCGGCTTTACTGATTTCTAACTAACAGATGCCTCAAAGGCACACTCGTACTTTTGTTTCCGTGTTTCACTCGTTGGAAAACAGCTTGTACTCGTCTCTTTTTTCATGAAAGTAAAAACCTTTTTCTGACAGGAAGGTTTCTCACCTGGACCCCGGCCGGAGCGCTCCTCTGGAAGCCCCTCCGCGCCACCAGGAACACGGCATTCTGCGGGAAGACAGCCTCCGTTATTCGGTTACAGACCAAAACACACAGAAGACCTCTAACATGCTTATACCTTTCCGGAGCGTAGCAGACTTCTCAGGGACGTCGCCATCTTTACCCTGTCCTCTGCCGGAAAGAAGGTTGAGTCTCCAATAAGATCAGGATATTTCAACCAATCAAACCCGCAGTTCACACGTTTGTCGAAATGTGACGTAAGACGGAGCCAATTGCAGCAGGCCGCCTGAGAAGAAGGCGGGAGAACCTCCAGCAGGAAAAATAAGCTCAAGGACACCAATCCCAATGTTTTTTTAGTTTATTTTTGTCCCGTGTCCTGTCTGGCTGTGAAGCGAATAGAATTAATGTCTGAATGCTGGTGACAAACCTTACAGATTTTCTCTCAGGTGGAGCATCAAAGCTTCTGCTTTTAAAGTCACGCCTGATACTTAAAACTTCATTGTTGTTGTTTTTTGAATGCTTTGTAATTCCGACCAGACAAGGAGACAGAGGTGAAAGAGAAATAGGGGGGGCTTCCCACAAAGATAAACAATCAGTGATGAACAAGAGACTGTTTCTAGACCTGCAGAAAGAAAAGAACAAACAACAAAAAGGGATAAACAACAATACAACAGGAGCAAGCTATCACTGTGTCAACTTGTTTTACTGAACAATAACACGATAATAAATCACAGTGCATTAAGTGCCAACCACAGCCTTAAGATGTGTTGAACGTGCCCAAGTCCATACTTATGAGAGCATCATGTCAGCACCTGTGTGTGTAGTAAGGTTTCTCTATAGTAGCGTCCAATAGAGAGTGTGAGGGGCCACAGATCCGCCCCCAAAGATGTATAGGAGATGGAAGGAGCTCCAAGTCCCAGAGATCCATGAGCTGCCCCAGGGTGCAGGGACCCCAAGGAGACTGCGACCAGAAAAGCCCCTGCTCCCCTCGAGAGGCGCAGAGGATTGCCCCAGGGAGCCACAAACAGCTGCTGGCAGAGTCCTGGGGGATATCAGCCGCAAGCTCTCAGGCCCGCCCGCAGCCTCCCACCCCCTAGCCGGCTGAGCCCGCAACCCAGCGACCCGACCCAGGGGCGACCAGCCCCGCCGGGGACCCAGCAGAGCCCAGGGACTCCGATCCCACCAGACAGCCACCAGGATCAATCAGGCAGACTCCAAAAATCTTAAACCCCCCTGACCCGGGAGCCATGGACACTCACGCAGACCAAAGGACCACACTCCACACCAAATGTGATAGGGGGAGGGTAGGCGAACATGTGTAGCAGCACAAGAAGTCCCAGGTGAGGGGAGGAGTCCAAGACCCCACCTGACATATACACCCACACCCACACCCACACACACACACACACACACACCCACCCACCCACACACCCACCCACACACACACACACACACACACACACACACACACACACACACACACACACACACACACACACAAAACCTAAGACTTACAAAAAACGAACGTTAGATACCCACTCATGCATGGACGTAATTTTCATTTTAGAAGTGGGGAGACACGGGGGTCGAGGGGCAGTATGTTCTAATGGGAAACAGGCTTCAACACAAACGGTTGTTCTCTGCTTGGTCCTAGAGCTCAACCAGTGTCAATTTAACTCATTCACTGCCAATGATGACTAAGTCGTCATTTGCATTTTTTTTTACTGTTTGAGCATCGGAACGAGCCCCCGCGCTGAGAGAACAAACATCTCAGCCTTGAAGCCGATCTTCATCCGCATACGTCACAGATCACATGATCAGGAAGCAACACATCCATGTGTTTGGAGATCGTTTTGGGCCGTTCCTGTAAAAAACAGTGAGGCGCGAACCGGAAAAGCGTCTGCCGATCACAATTCGACAACGGATTATGAAAGAACGCATAACGCTCGAAACACGCGGCTTCTTCCTGATGTAAGAGGTGAGTCAACTCTTTGTTTTGGTTGTTTTGGCATCGACGTCATGCTAGCGCGCAACGTTCTGTGACTCTTAAAAAAAAAACAGTAAAAGCGGTGAGAAACGCTGGCAGCGAAGGACGTTAGTGATCAGGAAACGGCTGGCAGTGAGTGAGTTAATATAGCGTAATATTGTTTTTGAATGGTAAAAAGGGCAGGGGTCAAAACTTGACTTTGGAAAAAGTGGGAGGGACATGTCCCCCTGTCCCCCCCCCCCAAATTACGTCCATGCACTCACGCTCCCCATACACACCTTATTCACTCTGGTCTCAGTACTAGTGCAAGAGGGTACAACCATCACCGGTCACCAGAGTTAGCCCCTTTCTGCTGGGGTGATGAGGAGCAGCCCAAGGCTAAGCAAAACAACCCACCACCCCAGACCCCAACCAGATGGGCAGATCCCCCTCCTAGCCTCCAGCCCCGGTAAGCCAAGCGACAACAAACAAAAATGTTTAAGCCTTTCTAAAAGAACATACTAGAGTTAGGCCTGGTGGATCCTGGTGGTACCTGGACCCGGTCTAGCAGCTGATGCAGCAGCCTGATAGCTAGGCCTCGTGACTGGTGCTATAGGCTGGGCTGGGCCTCTCGGCCTGGTGGCTGGTGACTGGGCCAGGCCTTGTGTTGATTTGCATACATAAACATTCACCATAATGAACATAAACATAAAAAGGCACAAAATAATGTAATTTTTATTTATTTATGCGTTTAATGTTTTCTCATTACATGATGTAATCAGTTACTTTTGTCATGTGTAATAAACATGCAGGTAAATTTTACTCTGAGTTAAGGTGTTCTTTTGCAGTTGAATAAACTGCAAACCCTGTAAATGATGATTCATAAGCAGTACAATAATTTAATTCACATCAACATAGTTCAACTCTGCCTCACAAAATGAATGAACCAAGTAGATTATCAGGAATCCTACTGTGGACATATCCTCCAGCCATTTAAAGTGCTGCACACAGACGTTCAGGGTGTGAGGACCATCATCTCTGACTGGACTTCACTGGTTAAAAAAATGAAATTAAAGTTCACAGCCCTAAAACTTGGTTTATAATAAAAGCCGTCAGACTACATGACTCAAAACAACCACCAGCAGCTGCTCCCTCAAGTTAAAACACATAAACAGCGTTTGAACAACTTACATCCAGAAATGAAACAAGGATTCATCCATCCTGCAGCACCTTCTTTATGTTTGAGATGAAATGTTATGATGCAAGTCCACAAACTGCAGCTGTGTCTTGAAAACCATTGTGGTTTAAGAATTTTCCAAGAAAAAAATACAATTGTGGAAAATCATTGATCTTAAGATGTTTAGTCACCTTTTAAGCCCCCAAAGCAACAGTTTATAATGTCCAGGTAAACATAAACTACCCAAATGTCTAAGAATGCTCCAGCCAACGTTTTAACAGAGAAATCTGGATTCTTTGATCAGATGAAGAATCAATTAGCAACTTGAGTAATCACTCATTTTGTTTTTCAATAGTCAACAATGTTTATGTTTTTTCTCTGAACAAGGATTCACTCGAGCTTATAATCCATCTTTTGTCCTCTCTTGTCCATCCATAAGGGTTAATTTTGTTTTCCAATTGGTTGATGTTCCATCAGAGCCGCATCCTCCTGTCAGAAACAACAGCACCACCAGAACATCTGCATTTATTACAGCTGAATGAAAAAATAATGCATGTATTAGAAAGGAGTAGATTTCTGAACATTTATTTATGGATTACAGTATGAGAAGAAGAAAAAGAAGAAAATATCATTTCTATAGCGCCTCTCAAGATAAAAATCATGAGGCGCTTCACAAAAACAAAAACTGTAAAAATATAAAAAAGCATTTAGCAAATGTTTAAAAATATATTTAAAAATGAGCAAAAAGAGACAATTGTGATAAAAAATGTTAAGAAAGAGAGAAAGTGAATAGGAAAGGGAAATCAGTGCATCCTGAGGAAGGTGGAATAGGTGGGGAGAGCAGAATAAAGAGAGAGTTTTGAAGAATTTCATACAAAAGCCAGCTTGAACAAGTGAGTCTTCAGCTGCTTTTTAAATGAGACCACTGAGTCCACTGATCTCAGGCTCAGGGGAAGAGAGTTCCAGAGTCTGGGGGCCACAGCAGTAAATGATCTGTCACCTTTGGTCTTTAGCCAGGTGCTGCACAACCAGTAGGCTTTGATCGCTGGACCTCAGGGACCTGCTGGGGGTGTAGGGACTAAGAAGATCACCAATGTAAGATGGTGCTTGTCCATGTAAAGCCCTATAGACCAGAACCAGGATCTTGAAATGAACCCTGAAGTTGACTGGCAGCCAGTGAAGCTGGAGGAGAAGCGGGGTGATGTGGGTGTGTTTGGAGGACTTGGTCAGAAGTCGAGCACAGGCATTCTGAACCACCTGTAGACAGTTCAGGGAGGTTCTGCTCAGACACGTGAAAAGAGAGTTGCAGTAGTCTAAGCGTGAGGAGATGACGGTGTGGATGACTGTCTCAAGTACAGAGCGGGACAGAATGGGACTCAGCTTAGCAATGTTCCTGAGATGGAAGAAGGAAGAGCGAACAAGAGAACTGACATGAGAATCCAGGGTGAGAGCTGGGTCAAAGGTCACACCAAGATTCCTGACAGAAGGTTTGGTGCGAGAAGCAAGCTGACCAAGAGAGTCTCTGACTTTGGGAACCAGCTTGTCTGGGGCACAGATGAGGATCTCAGTCTTATCTTCATTCAGCTGTAGAAAGCTCCCAGCCATCCAGGTTTTGACAGAGTCTAAGCAGGTGTGTAACAGCTGCAGCTTAGACATCTCATGGGGCTTAAAGGAGATGTACAGTTGGATATCATCTGCATAAAGATGGTAGGAGATTCCTTTGAAGGAGCTCAGGATGTGCTGAAGAGGAAGCAGATAGAGGAGGAAGAGCAGAGGCCCCAGCACAGAACCTTGTGGGACACCATGGGTAAGAGAGGTGGTGGAGGACCTAAACTTGGAGACGGCCACAGAAAAGGAGCGCTCAGAGAGATAAGAGGAGAACCACTCTGGATATAAATACCTAGGTTATAAATACCTAACTGCCAAGCAGTTTTTATTTCATTACCTTTTTACGCTACTAAAGGATGCTAACATGTTGTAAATGATCTCCTTATGGAACATTTAGTGCTAGTGCACTTTGTTGGTTTCCTTTTAGCCATTAGACAGATAAAATATCTAAAAGTGAAAGTTGTCCAAGCTGTTCTCCAGTTCCGGTTCCCTCTGAGGGTTTGGGTTTATTCTGCAGATGGGCCAATTAAAGGAGCTTTATTAAACGTAAATCAGTGGTTTTGGAATTTATTAGATTTTTCTCTAAATGAAATAATTTCTATACTACTAGTACTTCAGTATCATGGTGGTTGATGCAAACTGTTCTCTGGCACTTCTCCAGAAATTTAAATGGTATTCTGAAGCAAACTCTGGAGGTGGGATCCGGGCTCAAAAGAGGTTCTAGTTCTTTACAGAACTGCTATATTTATTACTTCATGGCTCATTTGTACATTAAGTCCAATTTTCTTAACACATCGAATTATTTTTGCAGCTTCAACAGATGCAGACTAGATCAATCTGGAAACGGCTTTAGAAAGCTCCCTTTGGGGCCGTAGCAACTCTAGACAAACTGAAACTACCAGTCAAGTACGGGGACAGGACAGAGGGTCAGCTTGTTTATGTTTGATCTGGAGGTGTCTCATTGTTGTTTCAGTCCAGAGAGTCAGAGAAAGACATGTAACCATAGAAACAGATCCAGTTCATTTCAAAAAGGGGAAAAAGCAAAAGCATTTATTAAAATAAAAAAGCACTTGTTTTTACTCTTCAGGTATTTAAGGAGTGCATAGATGGCAGGAACCTTTCTGTGGATAGGCGGCGGGGTCAGATGAGGGGTCTACTACGGTCCGCAGTGTCGGCTTTCTTTAGATTTCCTTTACTGAAGGTCTGGATGGAGCTCAGGAAGGCGGCTCGGCCTCCTCCACCTCCTTCACAGGAGGACAGAGGTGGAGTTGCAGTACAGGAGGAGTCGTCCAGCAGCAAAGGAGGAGCAGGGGGAGGAGCCGTATGTGATCCTGTTTATAGGAAAGAAGTGAAAAAGTGGAAATGTGTTAATGGTTTACCGAAGTGTTGCCTGCTAGTTTTGATCTCAGTCTGGTTTAATCTTACTTATATAAATGACACATCGAGTACCTAACACCCACCCAAACAAAGTGTGCCTTTTAAAATAACCGCTTCAAAAAATGCTAAACAAACTTTCTCCACTGACACAAAAACAAAAAGACAACCTTTGTCATTTATGCTTTTAACATTTGTCCTTTGTTAGAGGAGCTCAAGGACTGAGCTGAAGCACAGCAGAGAGGGACTTAAAGATATTGGCCAGAGATAAAATTCCTCAATGGCATGTGTAAAGAAGTATTAAAACCTCAGATGAAAAAGGTTTTTGGATTTTCACAGCTGGAATTTCCACAAAGCTGATGTTTTTGACGAGCACGGTAAAAACAGAAATTAGCTTTCAGTCGAAGTCCTGGGCAGCTGGTGACGTTTCACAAGGAAATCCAATTGAACAATCTGAAAGTCTTTTCAAGCATAGTCCCTCTGGATTCAAGTATTTTGGAGTCAATGTAACTTGTACTTTATCATCTTTATATACTTCCAACTTCTCACCTTTGATTACCCAGCTCAAATCTAATTTCCAAAGGTGAAATTCATTACCTCGGTCTCTAATTGGCCAAAATCAATACAGTCAAAATAAATGTCCTGCCCCTACTGCTGTTTTTGTTTCCATGCCTCCCAGTATTTCTGCCCAAAGCTTTAAAAAAACAATTAGATCAGCTTTTTGTCATTATTGTGGGGAGGGAAACATCCCAGGTTGGGGAAATTATAGATTGAAATTGCCTTGCCCAACTTTTTATTTTATTATTGGTCTGCTAATATTAATAAATTAACATATTAGCTAGATTCCTGCAAGCTGTAAGAGAGTGCTTGTCATGCACTTCCACCTCCTTAGAGGTATTAATGTCTTCTATGTTGCTCAATCTGCCTCGCTTCACAACTAATCATGTGCTACAAGCTAGGCTTAAGGTTTGGTAACTTCCCCATCCGTGCATATGTCCATCACTCTTAAGCAGTCATTTTCACCTGGTCTCATTGATGATAAATATGCCCAATGGAGATGTCATGGAAATACCACATTTGAGGACCTCTAAAGCAGGGGTGTCAAACTCATTTTAGCTCAGGGGCCACATTGAGGGAAATCTAGTCCCAAGTGGGCCGGATCGGTAAATTTAAAAAAAACTTCACATTGTTTTCTTTGTTTCAATACAATCAATATAAAACAAGGCTGGAGCCTGAGGACAGTGTAGTACAAGTACAACACCTGAAGTGTACTTGAAAATTTGAAGAAAAAAAAATCTATCAATAAAAAAAGCATTCCTTAGTGATTCAGAGCTTACAGATCACATGGCTAGATCAGTTTCATGCGGCACTTAAAGTATATTTGACTCATTTTACTTTACATCTTTTAGCTTTCACCAGCACATCAATATCAGAAGTCACATCCTGAGTGCAGCCAACTTCAGGATGTGATTCAAGTTCTTGTGTGAGCCTTGAGCGCAGCTTTGTTTTATTTATACTCATTACAGAGAAAACTTGCTCACAAAGATAAGTTTATTTTCACTCTACACTGTAAAGTATGAAAATAAAGTTTACACAACCATCTTGCGGGCCAGATTTAACCCGCTTGCGGGCCGGATCCGGCCCGCATGTTTGACACCCCTGCTCTAAAGGAATGGTGCTTTTTTGAGTTTTTCAGAACTCTCTTCTAAAGCAAATCTTTCAACCTCTCACCTGCTCCGTTATTTTCAGGTTCGACTTTTCATCTCTGCTCTCTTTGCTTCCTAGCTTTCTCTTCTGAGCGCTCCACCATGGGATAATTTTTATCTCTTACATTTGATAAAAAATTGATAATATCCCTGATATACTAACAGCTTATGGACTTGGATGGCCATTCAGTGGTCGCTGTTAGAAGAGCTTGGGAAAGAGTTAGGCATTATGTTTTTGGCTCGACGATGAGAAGCCGCGGTGTCCCACGCACATTGTAGTGCATCATGCGCTAGGTTGCAATTTATTCAGTTTAAGGATTTATACAGAGCTCACTATTCAAAAGCTCGTCTGTCTAAAATCTATCCACATGTGGTGGATTAGTGCGAAAGATGTCAATCCACTCCGTGTGACCTGAGTCACATATTCTATTCATGTCCGGAACTCCATGGCTTCTGGAGTCGGTTTTCAGCTGTCCTTTCTGGGGCTCTCGAGACTTGTGTTTGCATGAACCCCTTCTAGACATTTTGGGCTCCCAGTTGATGCCACCTTGACTGATCTCACTCATTCTTAAATATTGGCCCTTGCGTCACTTTTAGCCAGGCGCTACATATTACTCCAGTGGAAATCTCCTGGACCACCTTCCATATCCTTTTGGTTTCAATCCGTTATGTCATTTCTTAAGTTGGAGAAAAAAAGGCCTCGCAACAAAGGGTGCTTCTGGGAAATTTGCTTGCATGTGGGGCCACTTTGTGGACCATTGTGGGTCACTGAATGCTGTGCCAATTTAATATCCCTCTCCCCCTTATTTTTTAGGGTAGTGTTTTTGTTTTGTTGTTGTGGGAAAAATGAAAAAAAAAATTACATAGGAGCGAAACAAATTGTAGAGTTAAGTGTGTTTCCATCTATAATGTTTCTTTCACAATAAATATATGAAAAAAAAAAATATATATATATATTACTGTTGCCACTACTGAGATGTGATTTATCTTAAATATGAGTTATTTTTGTCAGCCTGAATTTAAACCCATAAGTAAAACGCTTAGATTCACTGAAACTCCCCCAACACCTGCCTCTCAAGATAAAAATCACAAGGCGCTTCACAAAAACAAATACAAAATACATTAAAAAATGATTAAAACTATGCTTAAAATGAGAAAATATAAAAATTGTGATAAAAAACGTAAGGACAGGGAGAGAGAAAATGAATAGGAAAGAGGGAAATCAGTGGATCCTGGGAAAGGCGGAATAAGAGCAGAATAAGGATTTGGTGGTGATGAAGGTCCCACGAAAGCCTGAACAGGTGGGTTTTAAGCTTCTTTTTAAAGGAGACCATTGAGTCCACTGATCTCAGGCTCAGTATAAATGAACAAAGAAAGTCAAAAAATCAGAATAGTCCTTATATTTTAAACAGTTTACCAATAATGGGTTGAAAACATCATACTGGTAAGTGTAGCTAAAAAATTTACTGCTGAGGGCAGGATGTGAACCTGCGCAAAACTGGACACCGTTTGTCACACTAACCACTGGAATACCAAGTCTGTTAACAGTCACTAACACACATATCCTGTGCTGGCCAGGGAAGACAGGCTTCAGACCAGAAGCTAGAAGAAGAAACGAGAAAATCTTATATGGTGCCCCTCAAGATAAAAATCACGAGGTGCTTCACAAAAAAAAAAAAAAAAAGATTTGTCACCTTTGACCTTTAGCCTGGTGTGCAGCACAACCAGTGGGCTTTGGTCACTGGACCTCAGGGACCTGCTGGAGGTGTAGGGACTGAGAAGATCACCAAAGTATGATGGTGCTTGTCTATGTAAGGCCCTATAGACCAGAACCAGGAGCTTGAAATGAACCCTGAAGTTGACTGGCAGCCAGTGAAGCTGGAGGAGAAGTGGGGTGATGTGGATGTGTTTGGAGTATTTGGTCAGATGCCATTTTTGCAGCCAATGTGTTGGAACAATGTGCAAGTTTTTCTCCTTTTAAGTTATGCTATCTGAGGCCCTGTCCACATGTAGCCGGGGATCTGCCAAAACGTAGATATTTTTCTACGTTTTGGCCTGTCATCCACACGAAAACGGATCTTTTTAAAAACTTTGGCCAAAGTGAAGATCTGCGTTTTCTCTGTTTTGGGTGTCTGCGTGTGGACAGACAAAACCGGAGTTTTAAGGTCCGCAACGTCACTTTCCGCGACAAAAAAATGCTGACATTACGTGTGCGACCTGTGTTTACACTAGGCGACAGCATGGATGCCCTCAGAGCTGCGCTCGCTTTATCAATTGTCCAAGCACTTTTTGCTTCTTTGTTTTTGCAAGCGGAATTACTGCTCCTTGCGGAAGACCACAGACGAAGGACGAGGTTAAGAACGGGGGAAGTACTGCCGTCTACAGGTCTGGCATGTCCTTAACAACGTATTTATCCGGGTACGTGTGAACAGTTTTTTTTAAAACGAGGTGGTGTGGATGCAAGTTTTTGGAGGGGCGGATATTTGTTTTTAAAAAACCCGGCTACGTGTGGACTAGGCCTAAGCTTCATCTCCTGGACACGTCGACCCCTGGACCAAAGGCATGGAAACCAAGTTAAACCCAAAAATACCTCAAACGGTATTAAAGCTTTGGGAAAAAAAAAAGCGAAATAATTTCATTTACTGAAGCAATTGGTTAAATTTAAATAGGTTATAGAAAAAGGCTGTGTGGAAAAAGCACCACAAAGCAGGAACTTAAAGTGAAAATGAGTTATGAGCTCAACAAGTTTATGATAAAGATTGAGTCTGTGGGGCCCCATCCCTCCCACTCCCCACTCCATGCAAACAAGCAAACATGCAGCAACAGAACTGGTGAACAGTTCACAATCTGCAACAAAACAGGAAAGGAGAAGTTGACAGTCGGTTGTGACTGGACATTGTTGTAGCTTGCGAGGTTTTTTAGAGAGGTGTTCATCATCCTGTCACAATAAAGTGATTTCTGATTTCAGATCTCATCCAAATAGTTCTGGTTTGGAGAGAAACTGGGACAGGTGGGGAAACTTAACCAAAGCTGAAATTGAAGATTAAGGCTGAACGATGTTTCATTTTCTGATCACAATTGGTTTAATGCTAATTTCACTAACGGGGACTTTTTGAAACAGCTCGTTTTAGGAAAATAATTCCTGAAACCAAACACTGACAGAAAATGGATAAACTTTTTTTTCCCCACTTTAAAGTTTTTGAGGCAGTAGTAGAGACCATCGGTAGAGACCCACAAGGTGGAGTTTTGCT